AGTGAGGGATAGTCTCTCCCCCTAGAATAACATCTCAACAATTTAGAAGGAACAGAAAACTTATGCAAAAAAAATTGGGGGAGGGGGAGGACCATGCCTCGGAGGCTTGCAGGATATTAGGTCCCCAACCAGGGATCAAACCCAGGCCCTTGGCAGTGATAGCTGGGAGTCCTAACCACTCAACCGCTGGGAAATTCCTGCAAATATTTAAATAAAAATGAATACTAAAGAAAATCCTCTTCTTTACCCTCTTGATTGCCACAGTCCTAAAACAGACTCATAAGGGGAAAAAGAGAAGTCTAAGGACATGGAAGCAGCCTAGATGTCCGTCGACAGATGAATGGATAAAGAAGAGGGGGCACATACATGCAATGAAATATTACTCAGCCAAGGAATGGAACTGGGTCATTGGTAGTGATGTGGATGAACCCAGAGGCTGTTGTGCAGAGTGAAGTAAGTCAGAAAGAGAAAAACAAGTATCCCATATTAACCCATATATGTGGAGTCTAGATGAATGGTACTGATGAACCTACTTGCAGGGTAGGAATAGAGGCAAAGACGTAGAGAATGGACATGTGGACATGGGGGGAGAGGGAGGAGGGGGGAATGAACTAAGAGATTAGAAGTGACACATATATACTACCATGTACAAAACAGAAAGCTGACGGGAAGTTGTTATACAAGGAGCTCAGCTCAGGGCTCTGTGATGACCGAGAGCGGTGGGATGAGGGGATAGGAGGGAGGCCCAGGAGGAAGGGGGTATCTGTATACACATAGCTGATGTACTTTGTTGTATAGCAGAATGAACACAACATTTCAAAGCAACTCTGCTTCAATTCAAAATAAATAAAGAGAAGGCAGAAGACTTGGCAGCGAGTTTTCCTTGGACCAACTAAAATCTGAATTGAAAGAAACTCTAGGAATCTCTCCTTTTCTTGAGTGTGCATAATTGAGTTTTCTTGGAATCCACAAAGTTACCACATTTAAATAAATTAAAACTCCTCTTGAATGTCATTTCCCTGGCAACTGTAACAAGCTTTTAATTACTTTTTTTCAGAAGTGGAGAATCCCCACTTTGTGTTTATTTGAGTTTTCCGGTGCACGTGCTCCCAGACCAGCGATCCCGGGCAGGAGTGACCTTCAGTGTAAGATCTTTTAGTGGTTATTTGCTACTTGCTTTTTGAGATGTTGGAAACTCTTTGATGGCTCAGGAAGACCAAGCCACTCTTCCTTCTCTCAGTGTGTGGCCAATGAGTCATTCTCCTTGCGTAAATGGAAGCTTGGAGGGCACTGACTTGACTGTGCCTTGACTGGACTTGACTGTGTTGGCACTTTCCAATGAAGCCAAAACTGCTGATCCATGTCATCTCTCTAATTCTGTTGGGTGCTTGTCTGAGGCAAGGATGCTCCCTGGGGAAATGAGTTCCAACAGGTACTAGATTATTTATCCCCTTGGGGATAACTTACTTCCTTTTGCTCTTCCTTCTCTTCACCTACCCTGGCCAGCCCTTCTGGATCTCTTGTCTCTGCCAAAGCGAAGGCTGAGTCCTTGACGGAGGCCACCTCGGTGCTTGGTCTGTGATCCTCGGGGATGACTCACAGGATGGCTTTCTCCAGGGAGCTGCTGCTGCCACGTCCTCATTGTGTTCAGGATGATGGACTCTAGGTGGATGAAGTAGGAAGAAGAAGTTGCCTCGAGAGCCCAGTCCTTACAGGCAGCAGCCCAGAATCCAAGTATAATGAACACATACTGACCATTCACGGTGTTCCAGGCACCGGGCTCTCTTCTCCTCTGAATCTTCACTATCATCCCAGGAGGTAAGTGCTCTTTTAGTCCTCACTTTACAGATGAAGAACTGAGGCTCAGAGAGGTTCAGAGATTTGCTCGGGGTCACAGAATCGGTCAGTAGCTGAGTTGGCATCTGAGGCCCCGCAATGTCTCCAGGAGCCACCTTGTTGCAGGAGTGAAAATATGAGCATGCAGATCAGATTTCTCCTGGCGGAAGCTCACAGGCCACCACAAACCCAGCCTTCTAGGCCACCTCTTCCTTGATATTATGGTGCTCGTGAGTGCTCATCGTACCTAGTAAATCAAATTTGTGTTTATCTGGCCTTGGTAGTGTCTGGGAAGGAAGTTAATGGGACTCAGAGCCTCAGTGGATGTCAAAGACAAGAAGAAGCTTCCTTGGGACCCCTCTGCTTCCATAATTAACACCTGTGGTTGTTTCACTGTAAACACTGGGCAGGTAATTTTAATACTCTTTGGGTAGGCATGGGAATTGGAATCTCTTACTATTACAGATGAAAGAAATAGCAGGGGAGGTATGGGAATGGAAACATCTTTTAAGAAATTTCATCTACATTGGGATAATATTGTTTTTTATAGTCAAAACAAATCTCTTTTGTCATTTAGCCTTAAAATACGTATACCAGTGATGCAGATATTTGTTAATTGCAGCTCATGGAAGGCCAAGGTGGGGGGCGGGGGACAACCTCTGTGATGTCTTTTTGGGATGAACAGCTTACAATAATAATAAGAGCTTCATGCTTCTCTCCCTATATTTGTCTCCCTCCCTATTGCCTACTGCAGACTTCCACTAAGGATTGACTGGGTTGGCAAGAAAAGAACTGAGTTTATTAAGTCATTTCCAATAAGAGTTTCCTTTGCATAAACAAGGACAGATGTTAAACCAGGTGTTTTTCCTAAATGAACATTTTGATGTATGTTGCTGAGAATTGTCAGTTTCCGTGCAGTGGCAAATGGTGTCAGCTGTGTACGTTTGTTTAAATCGTGGATCAGGAAGCATTCTGTGAAGTGAAAAAAGAATTGCTGTTCTAATCGCTGGAGCCTGGGCAGCATCTAGAACATGAATAAGCCTGTAACTCTCTCTCTTCTGAAGTCAACAGAATGAAATGAAGAGATGGTTTTGATATTTCAAAGTCACAACTTCTACTGTATCAAAGACTAATTTTGATGGATCTTTTTTTGTTGTTTATTTGAAACCTCATGAAAGATCTTAGGTTCTAAGGGAGGAGTTCAATGCCAACAGGTGTTGGGATGTGTGTGGATTTGAAAATGAAAGTATTATTGGGGAATCTGTAGCTTCTTGAAACACGCAGACTGCTTCGCTACCTGCAGCCTTTCAAAGCTTACAGTCTGACTCACAAACATCCCAGTCAATTTAAGTAGCATTTATTAAAAGCTAAGTGCCCTGAAATGGAGTTTGAGGGCCGGGAGAATCTGAAAGTTTTCATGGAATTAGTGGCTCTGAGATTCGTGATTTATAGGGGGAAAAAAATGCAAGTTAGCAGAGTTTCTAACTCCTTCTCTTATGATTTTTAGAAATGTTAGGGCATGGATGATTGAAAGCAACAATGAAATGCATGAGGGGCAAAATCAGAGATGAGAGATTGACTTCAACTATGTAAAACCCCATCTTCATCCTGAACTTCTTATTGTACCCCAAACTAGAGACATCTTCCTTCTTCCTGGGTCCTCAGGCCAGAGTTTTGCAAAACTCTGGATGAATGATCTTTCAGAGTATTTTCAGGTCTCTAAGCATTTGTGTGTGGCTTCCCAAGTGACGCTAGTGGTAAAGAACCTGCCTACCAATGCAGGAGACATGAGACTCAGGTTTGATCCCTCAGTCAGGAGGATCCCCTGGAGAAGGGCATGGCAACCCACTCCAGTATTTTTCCCTGGGGAATCCCATGGACAGAGGAGCTTGGTGGGCTACAGCCCATAGGGTTACAAAGAGTCAGACATGACTGAAGTGACTTAGCACGCATGCAAGCCTGTGTGTGAGCAGGGTAGAAGCTAGAACACCACGAGGATGTCAGTGGTAGAGTGTATCCTGATTTGCCTTATCAGGTCCAGGCTGCTCTATGGGCTTGAGATGCCCTCAAAAGTATTAGTCTTGAGTGAGTAGATAATACTTCAAGCAGACATATGGAGGGAGGACATAAGAGATGTAGATTCTGAATAATTTCATATTGCTTATAGGGGAACCAACAGACAAAAGCCAAATCAGGAGGAACACCTGTCATTCCTGCCCTGGTTCCCATGACCTCAAAAGTATTAGTCTTGAGTGAGTAGATAATACTTCAAGCAGACATATGGAGGGAGGACATAAGAGATGTAGATTCTGAATAATTTCATATTAAGCAACGCGGAGCGAGACTGGGTGGGACGTGGCCTGGGTGGGGCTCCGTCAACCAGCCAGAAGCCAGCGCACCGCCCCCCGCCCCCTGCCCCGGGCTGGGAACAATCTTCTATTCCTGTTCACATCTTCATGGATGTTGTTAAACTATCATCTTCACCAGGTTTTTGTGTGAGTTAAATAAAATGTTAGCAGTTCGCATAGCACTTTGTTTTCAAGTGCGTGTGTTCTCAGCGGCTTCAGTCATGTCTCTTTGCGACCCCAAGGACTATAGCCCACCAGGCTCCTCTGTCCATGGGATTCTCCAGACAAGAATACTAGAGTGGATTACCATGCCCTCATCCAGGGGATCTTCCTGACCCAGGAGGGATCAAACCCACATCTCCTGCACTAAAGGTGGATTCTTTACCACTGTGCCACTGGGGAAGACTTGTACCCAAGAGTGTCCAACAAATTTCCTTGTCATGTTGGTGCTGGCCAAAAATCCATTCAGGTTTTTCTGTACTAGGCTCTGAATTAGTTATTTCTGAAGCTGCTTATAACCTTCATGGGAGGTCTTTACACTTATTTCCTCCACTTCTGTATGTACATGAAATTTTCCATAATAAAATACTTAAAAAAAAAAAATTGGATCTCAGTGAAGGAGAAACCAGGGTAGTGAAAAAAGTATCCTTGAGAAGCAGCTACAGAAGAAAGAGGTTTTTTTCCCCAAAGAAGACCCAAAGATGCTCTGAGCTCTGTAACAATGGAAGGACCTTTTATGCAGGCCAAGACATTAGAAATGAGCCCCTCAACATGGCAAAGCCCGAATTAAGCATCCGGCATCTGAGATATTTCCACAGGTACACATTTATTTGGATTTAGAGAGACAACACATAAAATACTTTGATCATACACAAGTTCATATTTGGTAAGAGGATCAGGTTGTCATGTGTTTATAGTTATTTTTTTTTATTATTGTTTTCTGTCTTTAGTAATGGAGCGATGCTGGGGAAGTGTCAATATCTTTCAGAAACACCAATGGGGAACAGTATTTCAGCACAGGTAACTAATCAATACACAGCATATGCACTTAGCATTTGAAAACAGGAGGGCGCGTGCAAGATGATACCCACTGCTAGGTTCCTGGGTTCCCTGTTCTGCCACAATATTTACACCCATGCTTTCTTGGTCCATGTTCTGAGGAGTGGTGTCTACTCCGAATGATGTTAGCAGGGACAGTACCCGCGAGGTTGGCTGCTGGTGACCCTCCTTATTGGTCTCCTGTTCTCAGAGACACTGAAGTTGCATGGTGTGAAATCACACAGTTCTCAAAGGAGACTTCCAGGAGCGAGCGGAGCCAACAGCATTCCCCGTGAGGGCTGAGGTGGAGGGCACAGCTCGTAGCAGAGAGCATGGCGCGGATGCAAGTGTGGTTCCCAGAATGTCAGTGCGGCCACCACACAGGAAGAAACACGGCAATAACAGGTTGGACAAGCTTCTACAGCGACACATGTTGACTTGCAACACTGCAAATTCAGATCTAAAGTGCACAACCCCAACCTGAGGGGACGAGACAGTACTAGCAGTATATTTAAAGGCAACACAGTTACACACACGATTAACTTCCTTTCCTTTCCTCATGTCCTTGACACAGTCCAGGAAGTCAATACCATTTATGTGTCTCTGACGAAGACATACCACACTTTTTTTTTTCAAGTATTTAAAAATAAGAAACACAATATTGCTGTCTAAATGAAAATGGCCATGTCAAATCAGATTAAAGCTAAAACCCAACTTTTTTAATATTTGTAAAAGAATCACTCAGTTGTGCCTGACTCTTTGCAACCCTATGTAAAAGAATGGTCCCACATAAAGGCCTTGGCACTGGGAATTTGCGCTAAAGTTCAAAACAATCTTCCTTCCTTCCTTCTCTCCTTCCTTCCCTACTTCCCTTCCACTTGAGCAGACTGCAAACCTACTTTAAAGAATGTTTAAACTACTGGAATCTGTCAGGCTTTTATTTACCTCCTTCTCTGGGTTATGGTTGGTAGCATTTCACTATATAGAATGGAGCAAGGCTCCCAGCAAACTTGGGAAAGAACCTGGGAAGGACAGGGCATTAAGGAAATGATCTATTGATAAAAACTCTTTTCTGAAATTTCAAACACAGGCACAAATGTTCCCTTTGAAGTTCAGTCATACCATCAAGTGAAAAAGCAGTCGATTCTGCTAGGGGGTCTGGACCCCTTAGGTAGAAGCTTCTTGGATTAGAGAGGGCTCTGTCCACATTCAAGACATTGGGCTCCATCCTCCAGGCAGGATGGTGGGTTTGATAACTAGCATCTTTGCCTCTGAGATGAGTCCTTTGGGCCTGAGGTTCATGAGAGCTGGGCAGCTATGTGCTTATTCTCAACAGCCAAATTCTAGAACGCTTGGCCATTAGACAGAGCCTAGAAGGGGAGGCTTACTCCTTCATAAAATTGTGGGGCATAGGGTTTTTTTTTCTAATAGTCATACACACATACATGCTAAGTTGCCTCAGTCATGTCTAACTCTGTGCAACCCTATGGACCGTAGCCAGTTAGCTTCCTCTGGATTCTCCAGGCAAGAATACTAGAGTGAGTTGCCGTTTCCTTCTCCAAGAGATCTTCCTGACTCAGGGATCGAACCTATGTCCCTCATGTCTCCCGCATTGGCAGGCAGGTTCTTTACCACTAGCGCCACCTAGGAAGTCTAATAGGCATAGGAAATCCATTTGCTTCTTAGACTGAGAGGAACCAAAGCCAAGTGCATCTCAAGTATCAATGTTTCTGTATCCGACCTAGGGGAGAGATGTAGGGGCAAGCTCATGAAGCTTGCAGGTGGTTGGATCCTATGGTCAAGTGAGAGGGTTTTGCTACAGGATGAAGGATGGGGTCCTCTTCCCTCCCTCATATACCTACAGTCTTTTTGATCACGGATCTGAGAGGTCCATACAGAAAGGATAAATGCTCCTAAACGTGCATCCACAGTCTGCATATATGTGGATACATATGCAGGACATGTAGTCCTCCTCTAGCACTTGGAATCTTACAGTCTGTACCCCATAAATACCTATGAGAACTCTTGTTAGCTCCTGTCTCTCCATCAGGTTTGCAGGGGCAGAAGGATGCTTTTAGAATATTATTTTGAATTCTATGGAGCATATGTCCTCTCTATATTCCAGTCACTTTGATCTTAATGGGACACAGAAGATAGAAGAAGGGTCTTAAATGCTGTCTCAAAATCCTGGGTAACGGGACTTCCCTGGTGGTCCAATGACTAAAACTCCAAGCTCCTACGGCAGAGGGCTTGATCCCTGGTCAGGGAACTAGATCCCGCATGCCACAACTAAGAGTTCACATGCCACAACTAAAGATCATGCGTGCCACAACTAAGACCTGGCACGGCCAAATAAATACATGAATATATAAAATTTAAAAAAAGTCTTGGGTGAGGAGCTCATTTCCTCATAACCCCTCATGAAGTAGGAATTAATTATTTGGGGTTCCCAGAGATGGGAAACTCAGCAGGAAGGACTTCTGTGGGTCGGAATGGGAAGGAATCGGAATAAAGCAATGACCTGAGAGGGAAATAACTCCTCCCTGGACAGGCCATGTGGCCTCCAGGATGACATCACTATTCTCACAGAGACACTGAAGGCCAAGTGTAATTTTCTGGGCTCGCCACATCTGGAGTGTGTCTCATTCCTCTTTGCTCTGGCTGATTAGATTTTATTTTCTCTAAGGAATCCAAATGACTTCGTAAGAGAATGCCGTCCGGGAAGACAGCACAAGAACCAGCATCCACCTTCTGTTTAGAACAGGTTGAATGGAAATAAGAATAGAGACGATTACCCTCATTAGTCTAAGATGAAGCCCAGTTGTCAGACCTACAGTGCGGGTCTGCTAAGGTCCAATGAGTGAAAAACCGAAAAGGGAACAGAATCTTACTGTCGAGCTGACAATCACTTTTTAAAGAAACTTCAGTATTCTTTTGTGTTTGTTTTGTAAGAGCCCGAACAGAAAGAAGGCGTCATACTGTTAAAGAATTTTGTGGGTCTATGTTCCTAAATAACTTTGCTAAGTGTTTAATTGTGCCTCCGTTCAAAGAAAGAGAAAAAAAAATCTGGCTTAGTTTTAATATCTGCCCCTGCAGTTTGTATAACCCATATAAAATAAAAATCTATATGTTACAAAATAGGATTTCTTTTTAATATATATATTTTCCTTTTGTAAAATTATATGTATTTAAATACACTTGATATGTTACTATAGGTAAATTAGAAATTTTTTTTCTAATACTATGAAAAAGGCAAGAGTTTTTTTTTATTGTCAACATATATTTTATATTCACTTTATCCTTTTCACTGTACCCCAGAGAACCTTTTATGATTCAGGGGCAATTTGGCACTATTCAACCCTACTACTCTGACTTGAAAATAAAGTTTGATTTGCACACTATATTAAAAGTAAGGGAAGTATTTATAACAATTGTAAGCTTTTCCTCATTGATTAGAACACAGCCTTTTGTCACTAATTATTACAGAGGTGTTCTAAACTTAAGAAACAATTTTTAAAAGGAATAATGTTTGTTAGTTTTTGATTTTTAAACTGTACTATACTTTGACACCACGATATAGAAATAGATTTACTTTGGAACAAACTACAAATACATTTACATGGTTTGTGACAACTTAATTGTCTACCTAGAGAATTCAAACGGCTTAGTGAGCTAGGTTATTATAAATCTTGTCCAAGGCGTTCTATTTCTTCAATCAGGAAGTCAATGTCTTGGTGAGTTGCTGCGGGGTTTGAGATGACCATGCGGAAGAAGTTGACCTTGTCGCCCAAGGGCTGGTAGCTCACCATTGTGGTCCCATACTCCATCATCCTGGCTTTAATCACTGGAGCCACCTGCGGGAGAGATGAGACCGCTGCAGTGACTGCTTCTCCCAGGGATTCTTCCTGTTCTCAAAGAATCCAGCGTCAAGTAGCATTTTGAGTATTTAACTGAACCGTATCTGTTTTCCCTTAAAGGAACTGCTCCCACTTTTTAGGAGAACAGAGGGCTAGAACAGGTTAATACATCCAAGATCTCAAAGGTGCTGAAAGGAGTAATCAGTGGTGGGCTATCAGGAGCTTGCACCTTATCTTTGACTTTCTGCTTAGTATTTTGTGGCAACAGGAAGAAGCTAATGTTGGTTCCAAGGATAAAGAGTTTAGAAATACAACATTTGGGGAACTTTTTAATCCTTCAGTAAATATAAAATCATTGGAAGTAAGACAAAATTCAGAGACTGGGTACGAAGACGTAAGCCTCACTATCAAGTGATGTGTGAAAATAAGTAGCTTTTTGAGATCTTAAAGCTATTTTCATTCTTGAGATCCTAAAGCTCCCTAGTTTCTTTTCTAAACTTTTTGTTTTATATTAGAGTATAGCCTATCAACAATGTTGTGACAGTTTGAGATGGACAGCAAAGGGACTCAGCCATACAGATACATATATCCATTCTCCCCAAAACTCCCCTTCCATCCAGGCTGCCGCATAACATTGAGTAGAGTTCTCTGTGCTATACAGTTGTTGATTATCCATTTTAAATACAGCAGTGTGTGTCTCTCCATCCCAAACTATCCTGTCCCCCCATCTTTTCCCCTGGCAACCACAGGTTCCTTCTGTAAGTCTGTGGGTCTGTATCTGTTTTGTAAATAAGTTCATTTGTATAATTTCTTTTTAGATTCCTCAGTTCATAAGATGATTTGAAATATATTTCCTAATAGTGATGAAGAATCAGCTGAGGCAAAAAGCTGCGCCCACAAGGATTTAACATTATGGAGCTGGATCACAGATAAGATTTTACCACATTTATGCCCGATGGATAATTACAGCCCTTGGTCCTCTATTGTGTATGAAATTAAGTTAAAATGCTTCAGTTCAGCACAAATGCCTTTTTGTCACCAGTTCTGAGGACTCAGCTCCCAGGGCTCACCCAAATGAATCTGCAACTCTGACAAGACCTCCTTATTCCATATCCCTTGGATGTACTGCACATATTCTTATCCCTTCACATCGTCCTCAGTCTCACCATGTCACATTTGTTCTCTCTGCTTAGAATCCCTTCTCTTCCAGTTTGCATCCTACAAAGCCTCCAAGGCTCCACAACAGCCCTACACCCATGAGGAAGCCTTTCCTGACTTCTGTAGTCCACTAGCATATTTTCTCTAAGTTGTAAGTACATGATCCTTAGCCACAGAGTCTGTCTATATTCTAATTCCTATCATCCCCTCACTTATGAGAAAATAAAGCTTATCTTTGTACCCAACTGTAAGCTCCTGGAGGGCAAGGATGGGGTCTTTCACTTCTTGTATCAGCACAGCGCTGTTTGCACATGGAGGGCTCCCTGAGTCTTTATTGACTGTAAAGACTGGCATAAGAGGAACAGCTCCCAGGATGAGGCATATATTTTAAATTATGTCCAACTGTATGCAGGACCTATCCACATATTTTACCACTGGAGTTTGTAAATATAACATTGATCTTTTCAGTTCATGGCTGTAAATATGTAACCAGGGATGTAGATATCAGGGAAGCTTTGGGCTTATGCCAGATCTTTATAGTCAGCAACTCAGTTCAGTATGGGAACCATGCCCTCTATCCCAGTTGTATTTGTCTTACATGAAGGATAGATTCAAAGGGAATGGAGTTATGAACATGTGATTTTTGAATATCAACACTTACGTGACCGCTGGTTTACAATGAGGTTTTACTCCTCAAAGAACTCAACGTGAACAACCTACATGGCTCCTTAAGAGGATCAGCAGCAGTTTTGTTTTCTACCCATTTCTGGGGCCTGGAGTTCTTTCACATTTGTAATTGAGCACCAGTTTCTCTTGGCAGATCAGCAATTTCAGCTGATTCCCGCTGAGTTATGAAGCCAGGAAAGGTATAACCTAGTGCTTATTTTCAGCCTTCATAAACATGCTCTCAGAACACAGAAGCAGTTGAGTTGTTAAAAGTCTGGACAGACCAGTTCTGTGTGTCCTGGTTCCACAGGAAGCCACAGAGGGCAGGGGAGCCGTGACCATGGCTGAAGATAGATGTTCCCTAAAGACATGCACATCTGTCGTAAGGATGATATGGACATGAAAGGACACTGAGGTCCAGATCAGAGGAGCGTGGGTCTTTACCTTGGACAGGCGGCTCAGTCTCTCTTCATTGTTGTCCAGAACACGCAAGCTCGGAGGCACGTACCAGAAGCAGACGTTGGTGTGCTGAGGCTACAGAGAGGAAAGTTAAATTCATGCTCAGTTCAAACAAACAAGTTTGAAAATTCCAAGGACATTTCAAATCTGTTCTGCAGCTTCCAGATACAATCCTGCTTTTAAACCTCTAATCACCATTGAACTGCCTGACTTTCACACCATTATACAGTATATGTGTGTGTGTGTGAGAGAGAGTTGGATTTATACTTCCATTCTAAATGGTTACCCCCTCCCCACTGCTTCTCCTTTGTCATGGTCTCGCTTACTTGGACAGTATATTCTTAGCTTCAAAAATATCAGTGAGAAGAATTGGAATGGGGACTTCCCTGGTGTTCCCATTAGGACTTCCCTAAGACTTTGTGCTCCCAAAGCAGGGGTCCCAGGTTCAATCCCTGGGGGAACTAGATCCCACATGCTGCAACTAAGACCTGGTGCAGCCAAATAAATACATAAATAAAATATTTTAAAAGCCACAAAGAGTTAGAATGGACTAAACTTTGGTGGGGGTGTGCGCTGTAGAAATCAAAATACATACCTTTCCATCAAACACCATTTCATAACCTTCTCGGTTTTTGATGATATTGTATAAATACTCCGCCAGCTCCAAACACTTATCAATATGTGCTTCAAACCCGGTGGTCCCCTACGTGAGAGAAGAAGAGAGCTTAGCAGTCAAGCTGAGGAAGGTGGGCGAGCTCTCAGGTGAGATGGAGGGACGCATCCCTCTGGACACTGGTGGTCTTTTGGGGCCTGTGGCCTCTGCTCTGCGCCGGAACTTTGCTTACACAAGACCGTGTGTCTAGAGGCTTTTCTGGCAATTAGTCCTCCTTTCATGCTCTCCACATCAGATGCTTCTGTTCCCTTTCATGTCGTCACAGCTCTCCATGGCAGAATCCCTTTCTTTCAGTGCCTCTATTCCCCAGCCAATTATTTTGATTACTCGAGGGGAAAATTTGCCACTGCCACTCAGAGGAGTAATTATGGAAGTCATTAATGACAGGAGGGCTGGCTATTCTTTTCCTGCAGATTAAAAGCATCATCAGAGACCACCCCTCCCCCTTCTGGATGTCTGCTGAGTCCCTGCCCATCAGGTAAATTTGCCATTTCCAGATCCCACTTTTGTTCACCAATGTACCCCCATTATAGAACAGATAGGGTAGGTGCTCAATGAATATGTGCTGGACAAAAGAATTACTGACTCTGAGAGGCACACAGATGCTCTATTAGCCTGTCATTTTGCAAAGCTTATTAGATTTCTCCTTTGGGGATAAATGGGGCTTCCCTGGTGGCTCAGGTGGTAAAAAAAAAATCTGCCTGCAATGAGGAAGGCCTGGGTTTGATCCAGAGTCAGGAAGACCCCCTGGAGAAGGGAATGGCTATCCACTCCAGTATTCTTGCCTGAAAAATCCCCTGGACAGAGGAGCCTGGTGGGCTACAGTCCATGGAGTCTCAAAGAGTCGGACATGACTGAGCGACTAACACTTGGGGATAGATGACTCCTATGTCTGTAATGGGTGAACATTATCACAGAGGTCTTTCACTTTCCAGCTGTTGGAAGCCCAGGATCTGGACTTGTGAAAAACAACACGGCGGCCTTGAACTGCAACTATTTCACTGACAACGGGACACACTAGGGCAGTGGTCCCCAACATTTCTGGCACCGTTTCGTGGAAGACAATTTTCCACAGACCGGGGGTGGGGAGAAGGCTTCAGAATGATTCGGGCACATAACATTTACTGTGCACTCTATTTCTATCATTATTACATCAGCTCTACCTCAGATCATCAGTTATCAGATCCTGGAGGCCGGGGACCCCAACACCAGGGAGTTACTTTTCACACGGCTTTACTCCTAACTCCACTGGTATGTGTGGAGTACTACAGGAAAGCTTAGAGAAACAGTGAATGCTCGTCCCAGGAACTCTGAGAACAGACCTACCAGTGACTAATCCAACCTGAAATCCAGAGGAAGTAATAATGGAGATAAGAGGGGCCCACTTTCCTGTTAACATACAGTCTCATCATGTCATCTAAAAGGGGGACCTGGCAGAATGATGACTTGTAACATCTGAAACATTTTTAAGAGGAAGCTGCATTTAAGAGAGCTGATGGGTTCAGAAATCCATTTCTTTAGGGACTGCCACTCTTGCTAACTGGTTCCTGTGACTCCAAGTATCCACCTGATGCCTGGACACCCAGGCCATCACCCATGTGCTCAATGAGTCTGTGGGTGCCAAGGATTTACCATTGGTTTGGACCAGACAGGCAGTTTGGGTCCACTTGGATGGACGTTAGATAAGAGGGAGGAGAGTTTACTGTTAGCCAAACTGGATCCTTGGGACCAGTCTAGCACTGGATTTCACCTTGCAGGAACCTGATCCAGGATCTGTTCAGGACCACTATGACTCTGACCCTGTCCAGCCGTATGGCCTTGGCTAACTTTTCTGGTCACATGGGAATGATGGTGCCTGTGCGATTTCCCACACAGAGACATAGTGAGGTGAAATGAATGCTCTGAAAATGAGTGTGATTGTACCATAAAGGGAGTGGGGTTACCACGACAGGATGGGAGTTCTCTAGCCCTGCTAGTCTGGGAGTCCAGTCTGGCTAAGCTCAGGAATAATCCATCTGCCCCCTTGAGATGAAGGCTGAAGAGACTCTGATGTGCCTGTAAAAGTCTGGGGCTTCTCCTTTCAAACTGGGTATTCATGAGATTAAGATTCGTATTTTATTTTAAAGGTTTTGTAGATTCTCCAAAATTCATTCTATTAATATCAAATGCTTATTGACTCATTATAGGCAATACAGCTCTTATTGTGAGAATGATAAAGGCATCTATAAAGCCTTATCAGGCAATGCCTCTCCATGACCCGAATCACTGGGAAGGAAGCTGAAATCTCAGATGACCACTTCTGGGTGGACAGCAGGTTCCCAGAGTCAGGGCTACACTGAAAGAGGTTCAGGAGAAAGATGTTTTATCTTATCCCTCATCCTTACACACTCAGAATGGGTTTGGACGGACCCACTCAGGACCTCTTACTTCTCATCTGAATGGTAACATCCTAATTATTCTTCAGTCAATGGAGATGCTCCACTAGCTCAGGATATGCCCTTCAGCCCCTGCCTACCCATCGTCCTGGGATGTCCCTTCTCCCAGCTCTGCCGGCCAATGTCTTACCTATTCTATCCATCCTGTTCACAATCAGTCTCAAAGGTCAGTTCTTGATGAATCATTCTTGGCTCTCAAACTAGGACTGAGCTCTTCATTCTTTAACTCTTCAAGGTGTGTCTGTGTTTATTTTATAACCAGTTGTGTTCTATTTTTAAAAAAATGTTTATTGGAGTATATGCTGTGTTGTGCTTAGTCACTCAGTCATGTCCAACTTTGCAATCCCATGAGGCTCCTCTGTCCATGGGGAGTCTCTAGGCAAGAATACTGGAGTGGGTTGCCATGCCCTCCTCCAGGGGATCTTTCCAACCCAGGGGTCGAACCCAGGTCTCCCGCATTGCAGGCGGATTCTTTGCCATCTGAGCCACCAGGGAAGCCCTTATTGGAGTACCGCTGATTTATAATGCTGTGCTAATTGCACGTGTACGGCTAAGTGACTCAATTGTGTGCTATTGTTTAGTTGCTAAGTCGTGTCAGATTCTTTTGTGACCCCATGACCTGTAGCCCGCCATGCTCCTCTGTTATTGGGATTTCCCAGGCCAGAACACTGGAGTGGGTAGCCATTCCTTTCTCCAAGGGATCTTCCTAACTGAAAGGTTGAATCCAGGTCTTCCGAAGTGGCAGGCAGATTCTTCATCAGAGTCATCAGTTACACATATACATGTATCCACTTTCATTTTTAAGATTCTTTTCCTATATAGTCTGTTACAGAGAATTGAATACTATGCTGTACAATAGGTTCTTATTAGTTATCTGTTTTATATATAATAGTATGTCAATCCCCATCTCCTAGTTGGTGTTCTGTCATTTGTGAGGGTCATCGTTGAATTTCTCTTTCCTGCCTGGAAACTGTAGCCCCTGATCTCATCCAGCAACAGACAGTCAGTAGCCACTTATGAAAAAAATTAACATTTTAGAGAGAAAGGGAACATTCACTCACTCAGTAAGGAGTGCAGGACATCCATTTCCCTTTAATAGTTTCTCCTGGTTTCTTTTTTACCTCAGCCATTTGCCAGTCCCACTGTTATCTACACTTTAATTATGGAGATCAATCAGAAAATTATAAGAAAATCTAATGACCCAATCAAAAAAAATGGGCCAAAGAACTAAACAGACATTTCTCCAAGGAAGACATACAGATGGCTAACAAACACATGAAAAGATGCTCAACATCACTCATTATCAGAGAAATGCAAATCAAAACCACAATGAGGNGGGGGAGACTGGGATGGGGAATACATGTAAACCCATGGCTAATTCATGTCAATGTATGACAAAAACCACTGCAATGATGTAAAGTAATTAGCCTCCAACTAATAAAAATAAATGGAAAAAAAAAAAGAAAATCTGCCAATCTGCATAATCATATACAAACATCAAGATTTACAGTAAAAACTCAGCAGTTACATATTAAGCCATCACTGCAAGCCTAAAAAAAGGGACTCCTTTTGAGGTTTTTTTCTTTTTTTCTGTCTACACAGAGTTTTAACCGAGGTAATCTGTCAAGATGAAAAATAATCAAGTTCTAGGATTCTCTAATAAAATGCTCTAATAAAAGAAAATAGACAAAATAAAAGGTTTACCCAATAAGAACAGAGTTGAAGACAGACACAGTGTCTTTGCCAGTGAAAAGCTTACGAATCATGTCACCATCCAGAGTACCTTCTAGCATTCCACATCAAGAGGCTCAATTTTTTTCTTTTTTGCATTAATTTGCTCCCATAAAGTTGTCTTGGATTGAATATGACAGTTGTCTTCAGTGCATTTAGCTCCATTTGTTATTAACAGGTGAAAGAACAGGAATATATACTTAGATTACTATTTTCCCATGGCTTGTCTTACTAAGGAGAAAATGTGGATTCACTGGAGCATTGTATTCTCCAGGTGTATCTGATAACAGAGGGTTTGCAGATTAATGTCACATTCCTTCTCTTCCTCTTCATTATTGTTTTTGCAAATGCGAAACAGAATGACATGGCCAACTCTCTGGTGGTTCTTCTTAGGGAGAGTGACTTCTCCTGCCCTGGCTAGCGTTATGACAGAGTTAGGCATGTCAGAGCGTGCTTACCCTTGATCTTGGTTGTAGGACTGAGATTATTACTTTAATAGTTATTATTTCATTAAAAAAAAAAACACAACTTTAAGTTGAAAGTCAAATGGATGTTTTTATCATTTAGATGTCTAGATACTTAGGGCTTTGTGTAAGGAATTAAAAAAATAGATGCCCCTGTCTTCTAAGTAATTCAAGTTCTTTTTTGAAGTTCTTTACTATAGTCTCTTTCTGCATTTTACACAGAAACAATATGCTGGCTTTCATTAATTATCAAGAGTTATCCAGATGTCTTCATTTCTGTTCACATCTTACATATGAATGTTAGAAAATGAATTATTCCTTTACACAAATATAATGTACAAGAACTAATGAAACTATTTTAAATTCTGGATGATGATAATAAACTAATTTTCAATGCAAAATGTCTGTGTCCATAAGTTACACAGCCACTATGATCTCTCTCTCTCTCTTTTTATCTCCTCTTCTGGTGTCTGTATCTCAGCCCTTTATAAACTGGATCCTCTGCCTTTATTTCAAGCTTCATTGGTCCTGCTGTTGAGCTCACACCTGATGTCTTCCGTGTGATTTCTCTGAGAACCAGCCGGCTGCACCAAGCTGGCAGGGAGGCTTCCAATGGAAAAGAAGCAGCAGGATCCGATGAACCATGTCAGATACATTTTTGTGTAAATATAGCTAATGATCATCATCTTAATAAAAACACCAGGGGAACAAGAGACAAAAAGAGGGACACTGAACAATATTTAGAGACCAAGTTTTCCTCAACTTCCTAGCTGGTGTTTACCTCTGTCATTTTATCATTCCCATCAATCAAGGACATGAAACCCCGGCTCATTTGAAAACAGCCTGAGAGTACACCAATAAGTCTACATTCTTGATGGATTTATTATTGCCAAATGGTAGTGTCATTGCCAACAGTGGGGACCAGATACCTGTCCTTGTCAGGCACTCAACTTTCAAAAGAGGAAGGAGTCCCCTGCCCAGCTCAAGGGATTTGAGCCCACTCATCACACAGCTTTATGGGGCAATAAGTCACCTTGGGCCTCACTCCAGTTAGCTGTCTTGTACTTAGCAATACTTAAACAAAACTCAATCAGGCCAAATAACATGATGGAGGTTTGCTTGAAGACCATGTAGTCCAGCCACCCCTGGAAACCAGCTAAGAATTTTTGTGCATTAGGCAAGACCATCTTTCTAGTTAAACTGCCTTTTTCCAGGATGGGCTTAAAGAAGATTCCATACAATATTAAGTTGGTCAAAAAGTTAGTTTGAATTTTTCCATCAGATGTTATAGAAAAGCCTGAATGAACTTTTTGGCCAACCCAATAGATGTCGACTGTTTCACTCCTAAGTCCCCTCTTTTTCTTATTAGCCATCTGCCTGTTTGAACTGTTTAAGGAAATTCAGTTTGCATAAACACCAGCATATGGACTGGGTACTGTGGACCTGGTCCATAGCTCTTTCTATAGACCTGACGAAGGAGCCAATCTGTGGTCTCATCCAGCTGACCAAATCATTTGCTTATTTCTATGGGGCTGACCCTGTCACCTCCTTGTGTAGGATACTTAGAAATCTGAGAGCCAGATGTCCTTGGGGGCCAGTGGTTAAGAATCCACCTGCCAATGCACAGGACATGGGTTCTATCCGTGGTCGGGGAAGATCCCACATGCCTCAGGGCAACTAAGCCTGTATGCAACGTGACTACTGAAGTCCATGGGCCCTAGAGCCCATGCTCTGCAATGAGAGAAGCCATTACAATGAGAAGCCTGCACACTGCACTAGAGGATAGTCCCTGCTCACTGCAACTAGAGAAGCCCCACGCACAGAAACAAAAACCCAGCACAGTCTAAATAAATATATAAAATAACTAAATATTACAAAAAAGAAAGAAAGAAAGCTGAGAGTCAAATTCGTGGACCATTTCCCAAACACACTGGACCTAGGTCTCACCAGCTTCCCTCTCATCTCTCCCTTTGTCACGTTTCCCTCACGAACTCTTTTAACAGTTGGACTTTTCTAGCAGTTGGGTTTTTCCAGCATGTCCCTACTGGCTGTAGCCATTGCCTCCTGTGGGAGATAAATGAAACCAGGTGGAAAGTCACCGAGCTGTGACATTTCAGTTAGGAATCTGGCCAAAGTGAAAAATAAAATCTTTGACCTTCCCAGCCTGCTTACATTTACCCACACACGTGTGCTCTTGGAAGCTATAGTTAGGTCCAGCCAGTAGCACACAACATTAGTTACAGAGTTCCATGTCTGAGAGAGGGGTGATCATCCACAGTTAAATTCTGAGGTGAATAGAGAAACCAAACTAAAGGAGGTCACTAGGAAGTTCCAGGGCTTTTGAAAAAAGCTTTGTAACTAGAGGTTACTCTATGAAATGACAAAAACAAGATATCATGCTGATTTTTTCCTTTTCTTTCTTGTTCTCCAGACAAAAAGTCTACATTTAACCTACCCAAATGATCAATCACTGGGTAAAAACCAAGAGTTGGGACAAGAACAACAGTGAAACACCTCTTAGGAATCCAGAGATTCTGCTGTATAAAGCAATATGGATTGGTTTTTTAGATAAATGAGCATTAGAAGCAATTTGGCTTAAACAAAAAACAAACAAACACAAAACAGATTTCTTATATTTCTGCCCATGTAGAATGCAGATTAACTAGATCTAGGATTCAGGAAATTTAGTCTTGAGTAAATAATTTTCAATTTGGAAGTCAATTTTTGACATGTCCTAACAAGGGTCACTAGATACAGCGTCTGTTTTTAGTTGCCATTCAGCCAATGCTGGGGTGCTCACCTTTGCCCTCCACATTAGCCAGAGTTTAAAAACATCAACGTGGCGTCCGCACTGTAAAGCCTTGTCTCCAGTGTCGTAGGACAGGTCATAGTGTTTATCTTGTTGGAAGAGGTAGGAGGCATGCATCTGGTTGCAACTCTGCATCAATCCCTAGAAGAGAAGAGGAAACCTAGGAAACTCTGTGCTTAGTCGCGCTCAATCATGTCTAACTCTTTGTGACTCCATGGACTGTAGCCCGCCAGGCTCCTCTGTCCTTGGGATTCTCCCGGCAAGAATACTGGAGTGGGTTGCCATGCCATCCTCCAGGGGATCTTTCTGACCCAGTTTTCCCACATTGCAGGCAGATTTTTTACCATCTGAGTCACCTGGGAAGCCCTGACTTTATAATGTGTTCTATTGGGTTTACGTTGTGATGGAAATTATTAAGAAAAATATATAAGAAAGAGGAGCTGAATATCCTGGAGAAAGAAAACAGTAAGAATCAAATGAGAAAAAAAGTGAGACAAGTATCTGAGCAAGATAAACTGTTGCGATAGGTCAGTTCTATGGGGAAAAAAAATGGCTTAGGGTCAGCTATTACCAGAGGTTAACATCAGGGCATATTTATACTTTTATTCTCCTTTTTAAGAGAAGGCATTTATTTTTTTTTTCAATTTGTTGATTACTTCTGCTTAAGCGTCACAATACCCTTTGTTGTGGCTGGTTATTATAATTCCCATCTTATAGATGAGACCAAACATCAAAAACTTTTTTTTTTAATTTTTATTTTTTTTCCATTTATTTTTATTAGTTGGAGGCTAATTACTTTACAGTATTCTAGTGGTTTTTGCCATACATTGACATGAATCAGCCATGGATATAAGCTGCTCTGTAGCTTTTACCTAGAAATGGAACAGTTGGAATGTAAATCCAGCTCAGGTGAATTTCAGTGAGAAGGCATTTTTTAAAAAAAATCACAGTCAGCGTATAATGTTCATTGGGAGGATGTCCCGATGTTCTGGTTTCGCTGTAATCAAACTATTTTGAAAATTCTTTGGTTTTGCAAAATATCATTAGTGGATCCTCCCACTGTTTTATTCATACTGAGTTCAAGTACTTTACCACTTAGCTGTAAGTGTTTGAGTTCTTTACGGTAATCATAGTTTATAGGACAATTCATTGTGGTGGTGGTTTAGTCAAGTCGTATCCGACTCTTTGCAACCCCAGGGACTGCAGCCCATCAGGCCCCGCTGTCCATGGGATTTCACGGGCAAGAATACTGGAGTGTGTTGCCATTTCCTCTTTCAGGGGATCTTCCCAACCCAGGAGTGGAACTCCCATCACCTGCTTGGCAGGAGGATTCCTTATCACTGAGTCACCTAGGAAACCCAGTACAATTCACCGCTATTATCTTAAGATGCTAAAATCTAAAAAATAAAGACATTGGTACTCTGAGGTCTTCAAAATAGTGAATCTTTAAGATATAATGCTCCTCTCTCAAGAGGGGTTAGAGTTTGGGCACTGTGTTTTCATGCTCACTTGCTTATGGTAGTTATAGTGGAAAGTTTCATCCTCAATGACCATTAAATTACCCTGGCACCACAAGCTAACTATGGAAAATGGGTGGCAAAGTGATTGAACTATTCCAAAGACCAGTGAATGAATCATGTTCTCTGACTAAAACAGTATCGTCAGCCACTTCACCACATTGCAATTTGTCACGAACCACAGGAAGTCTTTGACGCTTTGGTTATCTACAGTGTAATTGCAATTTTACAGAAGTTTTGGCATTGACTTTTTCCCTTTGTGACTCATGACAAGAGAAGAAAAGACTAAACTGTGATCACTTGGTTGAAGTTAGAAGTGAGAGCCCCTTTTGAAAGTTCTCCAAACTAAAACAAAATGCAGCTAAAATTTGATCTAGATCCTGAAAGACCAGAGTAGGTGCCCAGATGATAATAACAGATTTGGGCTCAGTCTTGTAGTCTGGACATCATATTCAGTAGAATTCATTAAGTTATTTGTTTGAGAGTGGGAGAAATTCAGTACAATGTAATTATAATAGAACAGTAGAATGACATTGAATTGGACCCGAAAACCAGTAAGACTAAAAACTGCAGTAGGTGCATCTATTTTGTTTCATGGTCATAGAAACTTGGCCCCATTTTTTCCCCAGCCATGCAGCTCATGACTAGGTGCCATCAATCCTAAGGGAGACCACCCAGGGAGTGTGGAATGATGGGTAAACCAGACCAGCTTCTACTGGGATAGGAAAAGCAACTCAGAGCACATGACCTCTAAAAGGTAAGACAGCACCAGTCTCCTTGTACAAAAAGACAAGTAGAAGTCACATAAAAAGGTGAGATCATATCCTGATTCTGAGCCACGACATTCCAAACTTTAAAATACATGAATAGCTGCTGGCTGCAAAAGAGTTGCTGTCAAAAAAATTCCCCTGATCAAGTAAACTAAACCGCCATAAATATATATATTTTCAGATATTTATTATATATCAGCAATAAAAGGCTAAGATACTCCCTGAAATTATGAAACTTGTTTTCAACTCTTTAAGCTAATATATTCCAAGGTTTTTTGAAACCAAGAACTCTCTTATCACAGAATATCATCTGATAGCATGGTATTATTCCTTGGACCTCTATAAAAGAAATGTTATGAACTCTTGGGTTTCAAAGGGATCCTAGAGCTGTTCATCTATTGCTTCCCCCTTCTTCTGTTTTGGTCATGCCACGAGGCATGTGCAACCCTAGTTTCAAGAAACTGAAACCTTGCTCCTTGCAGTGGAAGTGTGGAGTCTTAACCCTGGACCTTCAGGCCAGTCCCTATTCCTGCTCCTTCTATCTTTCCATCCTCTTTCTAACAAGTGCTTGTCCAATCTCCATTCAGTCAGCTCCCCTGATGATGAACTTATTCCTACCTAAGTCATTCATTACCTGTTGGGCAGCTTAATTTTTAGAAAAGCATTCCTTTCATTGACCCCAAGTCAGACTTCAAATCATGGTTATTGTGATTTTGTCATCAAAGCCATACCATCCAATGTGACTAACCCAAGTTCCTGAAGCCTCAAATAAAAAACAAATCTCTCCAACCTGAGTCATTTATGTTGTAAAGGCTGCCTTCCTCTCAGTCCTTTAAGTTAAACCTTTTTTAGATTAGATTAAACATCTTTAGTTCTTTCAACTACCTCTGTTCATGTTGATTAATGTCCCTCACTATTGGAGGTCTTGCTTGATGGGGTCTCCTATACAATTAGACGCTAACCTGAGCAAACCACTCCAAGTGTGGTTTAACCAGAGGTCAGTGGGGGGCTGCCACCTCCCTCACCCTGAAGCTCCACTTCTTTCAATCCCATGACTAATTTTTGAATGGTTTTTCTCTCTTTACCCACTGTTGACCCTGCATCAGAGTACAACCTAATGTCCTATGCCTTTTTCACAAGCACAAGAATTCAGCCATGCATGGAACATGCCTGCCTCATCTAGTCAGAATATAACCATCCTATATTTGGACATAAGAGTAGGGCCTTACAGCTATCCTCATTCACAATTTCCCCTACTGTGGATGTGGCTCACTGTCCCATTCTGTAAAATCATCTTAATTTTGTCACTACATACATCACTCTATCCAACCCCAACTACGGATGTGGCCACGAGTGAGGAAAGTCATACCTCTTCTCTAACCAGGAGAGCAGAGCACTGCAAAGGAACGCCCATCATCTTATGTGGATTCCAGGTCACAGAGTTGGCCCTAAAGGAAACAAATCAGGTTAAGAGGGTGGCACCCATGACAGGCTCAGATGACCCCTTGTGAGGGGCAACAGGGCTCAGGGTTCCTGGCACTGTTTCTCAGACTCCAGCATGACGGTAACTTACAAAACAAGAAGGGGACCCTTCAAAATCTACAACCTTTCCTTCGTCTACAAAGAGAGCAGGCGAAGGCTGGTCTCTCCCTTCAGCTCCATGGTGGCCTGAGAGCTCTGAGTGTCTGCGATCGGCCCGTCCAGGGTCCCTCCTTTGGCCACCACAGAGCAGGGCACCAGGGGGTCCCCCATGCCTTCAGCGTTCCCGCCTCTGACCCAACGGTAGTGCCCTGGAGCTCAGAGCAGTGGCTCATTCCGCTGCTGAATTCTGTACTTTTCCCAGTCTAGTTCCTCCTTCTTTCCATTCAATGGATGACTAAATGTTTCAAATGTGTTCTTTTACAACAGCTAGCTCATACCCTGCTTCCATCTCTTCTCTCATCCAGAGATATCCTCTTGGACCACAGAGAAGATACACTGTGGCTCCCATGGCAGCTTTCAGCCTATTTGTCCCAACATCCTTGGTAAGCAGCATACTCTCTCACCAGTCACAGTGATGCTCAGCTCAGGGGGCTTATGCTGTTTGAAACTCCTAAACCACAGTCCTGGTTCAGAGTCCTTTAATGCTAAAAATTGCTATTATTATTATTATTTTCATCAGATATATTGTCTTAGCTGATGCTTGGTTTCCATTTCCTCCTCCACCTGGTACAATAGTTATTTTCTAGTCCTACTTATGGCTCTCTCCTCTTCCTTTTGCCTCCAGCCTAAGTTCCAAACTGTGGGGCATGGCTCACAGTGTCCCCACATTAGATCCCAGGCTACTCGCCCAGTCTGGAGTCCTGTCAGTTTCCTGAACCGCTTTTCATCACACCCCAAAGTCTGTTTTGTTCTCAGAAAATGCTATTCTCATGATCTTGGGTCTCCTGGTGCTACTTTCTCTTCCTGGAATGTCATCTCCTATGGCTTCAGTTGGTTACATCCTATTGATATTTAATCTTTAAGGCCAATCAAGTATCATCTCTGGCGAGTTTTGCAACTTCCTTCAACTTCTCTTCTTCTCACTCACTGTGCTGCTCAACCCTCTTCCACTTCCAGTTCCCGGGAGAGCAGCTGCTCACTTTCCATGAGTCTCTGTGCCTGTCTTCTGAGAGACCGAGGCATCCTCGAGGAGGGGACTCGGGAACATGACCTTGGCACCCACAAACTCACAGGGCGAAGCAGCGTAGCAGGACCACACGCAGCAGCTCCTGCAGAGAGTTGAGCAGTGCCGGCCCTCCTCCAGCTGTGACAGACGGGGCTCAGCCTACTCCCACCACTCAAGGTGTGAGGACCTCGGGAAGAAATGAGATGCTGGGAAAGATCCCATCCTTCTAGTTGATGAATGGTGGTCAGCAGCTGGCCAGTCAGGGAACACTTACTGGCCTGGGGATCTTATCTGAAGCGATGAATAGTCTGGCTCATTGTCTGGTCTTTCTGTAGCTTTGACACTGGCTGTCAGATATATTGGAAATGAGGAAAGAAGCCAAGGTGGTTCATGGCCAGATGGCTATACCCTTGGACAGAGGACTGAAAGACTTCATGAATAATAAAGAAACGGGTATCAAAAAGCTCCTTCTAGGAAAACAGCTCATTGCTCTTTAGAATGAAACTGGAGTCAAGAAACCTGGGCTCTGAGCCGTAGCTAAAGTTTGGTTAAGGGAGGGGAGCTCAGGAGCCAGACAGTCTGAGTTCGCATCCAGGTTCTATCATTTGCTAGCTGTGTGACCTTGAGCAGGTTACTTAACCTCTCTGTGCCTAGATTCCCTCATCTATAAAAGGAGAATAACAGGAAATTGTTGGGGACCTCTTGTGGTCCAGTGGTTAACAATTCACCTTGCAATGCAGGGGGTGTCAGTTCAACCTTTGGTCAGGGAACTAAGATCCCGCACGCCACAGAGCAGCTGAGTCTATGTGCTGCAACTACTGAGCCTGCATGCAACAGCTAGAGAGCTTGTGCCCCGCAACAAAAGACCCCGTGTGCCACATGCAAATAAGACTCAGCGCAGTCAAATAACTACATGTTAAAACATAAGACATCATTTGGGAAAAGTGCTTACAACCGATTCCAACACAATAAACAGTAACTAAACCTGGCTCTTGCTACTAACTTCAACTATATCATTTAGAGCTTTGTGACCCTGGGCATATGTACACAGCCATTTGGTACATTCTATACTATTCTGTAGCTGGATGCCCAATACTGACAACATGCAGTTTTATCAGTAATGACACCAACTGGAGAAGAAAATAGCTGTTTTCCACGTTTCTGACTGAGGGTGTTTACTTCTACACAGCAGCCCATTTGTCTTTTTAGAGTAGAAGCTGTCAAGACCCCCCCACTGACTGGTCCCTGAATTCTCTCAGAGGGTCTGCCTCATAAAAATGCAAAAAGATGCAGACAGCGATTCAACGCGACATGGCATTAGCCGTTCATGTGAGACATGTTGGCAATTTGTGAAAAGCAGCCTCAGGTTCATTTCAAAATGTTTTGCCTTGAGATGTTATTCCTCTGTGACTTTCAGTAAGTTTATAGAGAGCTGAGCCCCCTAGGGCTGTTGGGAGATGTTTCTCAGTGCCCGTCTATGCACGCCAAGCTCAGAAGATCCCAAATGAACTGGCTAACTAGCCCCCTCCTCATCCCTCCAGATCTCTTCTCTCTCCTTTATTCTGGACCTCAATTCCTCACACTACTTTTCCCCCATTTTCCTCCTAAACATTCAGCTCTCAAACCTTAGTGGTGTGATTTCATTCTCTTTCTTTCCTCTCCTATATCACTCTTTGAAGTTGTTTTTTTAAGTTCTGTATAAAGCATTTTATTCTGTAGTACTTTGGTGCTCAATTTGCATGTGTGTGTATGTGGATGGTATATGAAAATCACTCGGAAATTTTTCAGCATTCACATGTTAACTACATTTACTATTTCCTATGTGGCAGGCAATGCTCTAATTGATTCACATGGATTAATTTATCTAATCCATCCGACAGTAGCCCTGTGAGGTACACACTGTTATTGTACCAGTTTTATAGATGAAGAGACATCTTGCCCAAGAGCACATAGCTAGCAAGTGGGATTCAAGCCATTGCTTGCCACAGGGTCCTTGCTCTAATGGTGACTTAATGCTACACGTATCCACTGAAAACCACGGAGAGCCTGAAATGTTTCCTTTTGGGCTGTGACTGGCATGCTGCTGCTAAGTTGCTTTAGTCGTGTCCGACTCTGTGCAACCCCATAGACAGCAGCCCACCAGGCTCCTCTGTTCCTGGGATTTCCAGGCAAGAACACTGGAATGGGTTTCCCTTTCTTTCACCAATGCATGCATGCATGCTAAGTCAATTCAGTCATGTCCGACTCTGTGTGACCCCATGCACAGCAGCCCACCAGGCTCCTCTGTCCATGGGATTCTCCAGGCAAGAGTACTGGAGTGGGTTGCCATTTCCTTCTCCAACCTGTTACCTAGATTCCAGTAAAAAATGGAAACACCCTGGTGGTGGTTTAGTCACTAAGTCTTGTCCGACTCTTTTGCATAGACATATTGAAAAACTTCCCCAGGCCGTTATGATATACTCCTAACACAATGGTGCTAGATTTATGATGTAACATTTGAGAAAAGTGTTTTATATATGACAAGCTCATGTTAGCTCAATAAAAGACATCTCCCAAAAAATGTCCCTCACTCTGTTCAACATAATATGCAAAACTGTAAAATCTGTCAGGGAGGACACTCTCTGGAATTTCTAAAGGATTATTAATAGGAAATATAGCAAGGCAAAAAGAGCACTATATATAAATCGTATGTCAAAATTTTGTAACATCTGGCATTCTTAGTGCAACTGGAGTGTGACTTTTCCATTGGATTGGCCAAAAGGTTTGTTCAGGTTTTCCATAAGATGTTATAGAAAAACCCAAATGAACTTTCTGGCCAACCCAATACATACACACACAAAATATTTCAGAAGGAAGTGAAGGAAGCAGAAGCACCGGCTCTTTAATAAATTACACCTGAAGAGCTGGTCTCTGATGGTGCATTTTGCTCCAGGAAGCAGCTCTCCCAGGTTCATCTCCTCCTTCCCCTCCACATCTCTGTTTCCTACCCTAAGTATCTCTCCCCTCCACTCCCCCTGCCCCTGGTCCTCTGTGAAGCCCCAGTACCTCCTCCTCAGTCCTGGCCTCCATCTCCTCTTGAACCCAGAGCGGCCTTTCCAGAGCACGGGAAATGCCACTCCTCTCTTCTGTTCAGTCAGTTCAGTTCAGTTCAGTCATTCAGTCGTGTCTGACTCTTTGCGACCCCATGGTCTGCAGCACACCAGGCCTCCCTGTCCATCACCAACTCCTGGAGTTTACTCAAACTCATGTCCATTGAGTCGGTGATGCCATCCAACCATCTCATCCTCTGCCATCCCCTCCTCCTGCTGCCTTCAATCTTTCCCAGCATCAGGGTCTTTTCAAATGAGTCAGTTCTTTGCATCAGGTGGCCAAAGGTGGCCTCTCTTCAGACTCCCACTGTGGCTGCTATAGTAGGATCTCTCCAGTGTTTTTCCCCAACCCGAGAAACACAAGGGTCTCTATGCACAACAAGGGCTCGGACGGCGGTGATGCTCAGCTCAGGGATTTACCTTCATCTGGATTTGGCTCTGCAGGCAGACCCTCCGCTGAGACTCACTGGGCAGGACTTCTGGATCCTCCACTAGCTTCCTGGTCTCTGACACAAATCCATCCTGGTCTCCAACCAAGTCTGTCTGAACTTTCCCCAAGGACCCTCTCAAACCTCTGTGACCCTGCTCTTCACCTTAACGCCCTTCTTCTGCTTCTGCCTGATGAAGCTCCGTGCCCCCCTCACCCCAGGGGGAAGGCTTCCCTTCCTTTAATAACCCTGTTTAGAAGGAACAATCTGTCTCTTGAGCCTTTAATTCCTGCCTTGACCTATAATCCATGGTTGACTGCAGTTTCCCTACTAGATTCTAAAACCCTTGAAGACAGGCTTCCTAGCATATTTGGCTTTGCGTCTGCACTGTGCTTCATGCAGTGGCTTGCCTAAGACAAAGGGCCCATAACCAATGAACTGAGTTTCTGAACCTCTGGCCCTTAGGGGTGGGAGTAGGACTAATAATTGGTAATTTGGCAGGAGCTGTGCTGGAACCTTCAGCTGGGCCACAAAGTCATGAGAGTGGCCCAAAACAATGGGTTCTTCCAGGTACACAGCAGCCTGCTGCCAGGAGGGATTAAAGAAGGGTCCACTGACAGTGCCCAGTGGTGCCCGGTCTCCTGGCACCCTCTTAGCTGTCTTATCCCTAAAGAGCTTGACTGTGTTGTCAGAGAAGAAAGCTGCTTTCTGAGAAAGGCAGGTGCCCAGGTGCTTGTGCCATTTTGTAATGAGGACAGCATTCTGGGATCCCTGTGACCAGGGGGCCAACTTTGGATCTGGGGGACAAGGATTCACGGATTTCCTCCACTTTAGAGTGAGTCCTCGTGCTTGGAAAGTGAGCATGGCAACCCACTCCAGTATTCTTGCCTGGAGAATCCCATGGAGAGAGGAGCCTGGTGGGCTACAATCCATAGGTTGCAAAGAGTGAGACATGACTGAAGCAACTCAGCACACATGCATGCGAGTGAGGCAAATTTCTTTCCTAAAAGTGCATCCACGCAGATTTCCCTTGGCCCTAAAATCTTCTTCACCAAAGAAAAAGTGAGCCTTTTGTTGATAAGTCACCCAGATGGATTCTCTCAGGTCAATGGATGGCTGGGGAGGGTCCACTCAAAGCAGAGCAATGGTCCCTCATTTTTTTTTTTTTTTTTTGGCAGTGCCGTGCAGTACACAGAATCTTAGCTCCCCAGGGATTGAAGCTGTGCCACCTTCCACGGAAGCGTGGAGTCTTAACCACTGGACCATCAGGGATGTCCTGACAGTCCCTCATTTTTAAAAAGGACTTCTTTGGCTGTTTCCACTTAGTAGATTTACTTCCAACACAGCCTCAAGAATTCTGGCCACTAGAGAGGACTCTGTGTTCCATAACGAATGTTCTAAGCTTTGCTCTCAAATAAGAGTCTTTAGTATAAAAGTGCGTGGGTGTTTATTTTTCCAAAGCCCAGGGTATGTGATTTAGCGAGCTTTCAGGTAGTCGTTGATGGAGGGCACCCCTGGCTGGCTGTCAGCACTTGGAGCCACAGCTGGCATCAAAGGTATAGAAACAGCCTCTCACGTTCTGTGCTGGTCAGTTTAAGGGGACTCAAGGATGAGAAGGTTCTGTACACAGGCCAATTCTTCTGATAGCATGTCAACTGAATTTTTGTTCCAATCTTCTAAACAAGCACCTTCTGGATGGGTCTCTCTTCTTCATTCTCTTTTCCTGTTTAGTTCACTCCTTCTTTAGCTTCTAGTTCCAGGCAGATCTTCATGACAAGGAGGAATTCCGATCAACTAACCAGAAGCAGAGACCTAAAGCTGGCTCCCCCTGGGAAGAGGCCAGGCCTGTCCTCATCCACTCACACCTGAACGGGCACCTGCAGTCAGAGTGTGGGGCAGACTTGGGGACACAATCTGCTGACCTGGGTCTTGGCTGGTCTGTCTCGAGTCTTCTCCAGGCCTCCTTCTGCTAATGAGGCAGGGTGCCCAAGACTCTTCAGTAATCCCATGCCCTCCTTCCCCACCCATGCGTTCTCTGCATGTGGGTAGGCCTGGGTGTCACACAGCACACCCTGTCCATTCATTCTGGCCTGGCTGCCCTGTGTGACTGGTGCTCTCAGATGCTTTCAAGCTCCATCAGTCTCCTCATCTTGGTACAGAAATTGTGCTGAGATGTCCAGAAGTAGAGCCAGGGGGAAACTCCCCCTTGACAGCACCTGACTACTTGGCTGGGTGTGGTGGGCATTTGGCAGTCCTGGATTAATCCAGGCTTTCTCAGTTGCCTGGCGTGTCAGGCTCCCTGCTATCCTTGACCTGCCATGTTGTGATGGGAGAACTGGGAACTCTGAGCTCCCTCTGCACAGAGGGGCAGGAACCAAAGCCTGAAACCAATTCTGCATTATGTGATTTTTTTTCTTTCTCCTTTGGCCCTGAGTAGGCTTTGCGCTAACCAAATCACCTCCTTTGTACTTTGCAGCTTTGTCTCAATGGTCTTCTGCTTGGTCTCCTAAGTAAAGGTAATTGTAGCATCCATCAGAGCTCACCAGAAAGAACCATTATGGAGATGAAGCCATCAGGTGATGTTATCACAAGCAGGTTTCACTTTAAGTCAATGGGCCACATTAAACTGCAAACCCCTTTTTCAACACTGATAAATTACAAGGTGCTTCTTTGCTTCACAAAATTATTTATCGGTTTCTTTAAAGCAATGGTTATTATCCTCTCATGAAACATGAGAGCTACCTATCTCCCTAGAAAACAGTGGCCTGCCTGAAGCTTTTAACAATTTTGATAGTTGTTGGTTCAGAGACCCCAGGAAGGTCATTCCTGAGTACTCTGGTCAACCATGGAGGCCAGTTAGGAATCTCTATGATCTCTACATTTGAGAGACATACAACTTGTGTTACTTGGATAGGATTTGATGTCTCTGCTGTCTACACAAAATACTCATGCATTTATGACCACACAAGGCAAAGCACACAATCAGTGACAGAATGGGCTCACCTGTACACCAACATTTCTTGGACATTGGGTGTAATGTGCTTTTCACATATAGCTTTCACACTTTACGTTGTTAAGGAGAAAAATGTGTGTACCTCTCCACGCCGCTCAGTTTCCACTTGTGTTTCCGAGACATCAGTAATCCCCCACCCCAAGCTGCCTGGAAAAAGAACGGCATACAAAGAAAAGGTAGTGTTTTTTCATTGCCTGGATTTCTAGAGTTTGGTATCTTTCAAAACAGTAAGCATTGCTTGCAGTGAAAGTCATAACCTCAACCCCAGATAACTTGGGGATTGGCACTAGACTTCCAAAGGTTAAGTTGGGAGGCTATTCTAAAGTCTCAGGCTCCATCCCACATTTATATGGGTGTAAGAAGCCAAACACTTCCTCAGTCTGCATGAAAAGGAGAAAGATCCTTCCCAATCCATCAGCACTGCACTTAGTTTTAGGGAAGCTCATCATTTCAGAACTAGAAGTGCTAATATCTCCACAGTTTAGACTAACAATGATGAATTAAAACCCTTCAAACAACTTTCACATTGCAAGGAAAACTCTTTCTGAAGACTCTGAGTGCATATTATTAATATAAAGCCAAAATGACCTAAGCCAGTCTACTCAACAACATAAGCCTCTTGCACCAGAATGGAAAGCAACTTATGCTTCCTTTGTTGACAAAGCCTCACAGTGGAAAACACATCAGCTGAACCAAGCATGGAGCTTAGTGATGATATGGCATTGATTGCTGATCTCATCGTGGGTCATTAGCAGTTTTCAGAGAGTAACTGATCTTTGAGCCACACTTAGAGTTATATTGGTTTAAACTTAAATTCCATTAGTTTGTCCTTCTAAAAGTTGACATCTGTTTTCATTTGAAAATGTCTTGATGAGTGCTCCCCATCATTTCTTGGTGTGACTAACTGTGGAGTCAAAACATCTCATATATGGCCTATCTTACTAGCTGACCATACACTGGAAATTTAGTGATTCCTATTTCCTAGCAAGTTGTCAAGTCTACTTTCCTCCTCAGTTATACTAGTTTCTGACTTGAGTTGAATTTTTTATCCACTGGCTCTCCTAGGTAAATGAAACTCCTATTTACTCTTTTGATCATTCTCATAACGAAAGAAGCTTTGCATGTATGTGAGACCTTGCACATGTGAGACTGTGTGTGTGTGTTTGCATGTGTGTGACTGTGTGTATGTTTATGTGTATGTTTGCATGTGTGTGACTGTGTGTATGTTTGCATGTATGTGTGTTTGCATGTGTATGACTGTATGTTTGCATGTGTGTGTGTTTGCATGTGTGTGACTGTGTGTGTTCCTCTGTGGACATTATGACCCAATGAACCAAGAACTAAGTGCTCAGCTCAGGGGGTCACAGAAATAAGAATATTATCCTGTTGGGGAAGTTAAGACAAAATCAGCCTTAGATTGCTTCCAGCGAATGTCGTGTACTGCGTGAGTCATGTACTACATTGTCTCTGTGATCTTTAAAAGCTTATCTATCATCACTCTGGGAATGAACTCCTAAAGTAGAAAACAAAATAAAATACATTTCATTCCATGAGCTCCAGGCGCAAAATGTGCAAGAACATTTCAGTGGTGGTGCCTCTGGGATACTTACATCCACGTGCATCCAGATCTTGTACTTTTTGCAGATGTCAGCAACCGCTAACAGGGGGTCAAATGCTCCATACACAGTGGTCCCAGCTGTGGCGCTCACAAGGAAAGGGACAAACCCCTATGCAAATGAGAAAGCCCCAAATAATGTAAACCAGCAATCCAAGGATTCTTTTAAAAAGCTGATTTTAAAAGGTGGACATTCTCCTCCTATCTTACACATCTGTCTTTTTGGAACCACCAGAAGGGTTTTGGCGATATCTTGGAGCCTAGTAGGAATGACGTTCGCCCTCCAGATCTGAGTTCTCCAGGCCATTCCGTTGGCTCCGCCAGTTGCCTTATGAGAACAGACACTCTGGTTCTCAGAAGAGGCTGCACTGGACCTGGGGGGTGAGTAAACTTGGTGGTGCCCAAAAATCTTTGGTATATTCCAAGGAGAGTTTCTGACCTTCCTGCCACCCACCCACTCACCCACTTACTTTCCTAGTCTTCCTTTTTCATAGCAGGGTCTCTGAACATAATAAACCTCCTAGAGTGAGCAGACAATAGGAGGAAGGGAAGGAACTCCTACCTGCCCATTATTCCTCGTTGGAAAATCCCTAGATAACTTATTTGGAGTTTCAGAGGATTCACTTGGGAGTAAAAAATAAGCCATGATTTTATCCATCTAAATTGATTTAGTCTGTCTGGCCATGGCTAAATGAAAACTGATAGAAATAATAGGCTGCTGATGAAAAATGGCCAAAGAATGTCACTCAGTCATGTCCGACTCTTTGCAACCCATGGCCTGTAGCCTGCCAGGCCTCTCAGTCCATGGAATCCTCCAGCAACTGGAATGGGCAGCCATTCCCTTCTCCAGGGGATCTTCCCGACCCAGGGATGGAACTCGGGTCTCCTGCATTGCAGGCAGACTCTTTAATGTCTGCCACCAGGGAAGCCCAAATGAAAACTGATAGAAATAATAGGCTGTTGCTGAAAGATGGCTGAAGAATGCCTCAAACAGGGTGAACAGGGTTACTCCATAAAGACATGACAGGCTCTGATGTTACAGAGTCAGTCTTTAGGTGGCAGCAAAGGTTTATGTGGTTACAAGTGGTCCTAGGACCAGAATAAGGGGAAAGGATCCTGCTGCCACTCTGCAGGGGAGGAAAAGGCCTAAGAAAACAAATGATTTCTGAGATCCTAATAATAAAGTTCATGTGCTATGTCGTTGAACTGGGAACTGTAGATGAGATCTACTAAAAGCTCCAACCTGCAAATCATGCAGGGATGTAAATGACTTTCTAGAGCTTTGTAGGAATTTTCAGCAGGTCTTCAGAACGTGTCACTTCTTTAAAATGTACTAAATGGCTCCCTGAAAAATAAGGTGTTTGGAGGGTCAATCATTTCAGTATGTGTCTTGGCAGGAAACAGTCCCTTTCAAATAACCACACACAGCAACTCCCATATGCTAAATTAGCTTCTAGGGATTTTCCATTTGTGAATGCAGTCTTTCCAGTGAATCTGTTTAATGCCAATCTTCATCACACAGGAAAACAAGTCCATTGGAAACTGTTACTACCCTTGTGTTACTAGAACTGGTTAGTATAACTGTGTCACTATAATTGTTAGTACCACTGTATATAGTATTTATTCAGTAAATTAGACTTTTTCAAAGTAAAGCCCATCACTCAGAGAAATAAGTAATGACTGAATGAAAAATTCCATGTACTCTTTACAAATACAGCAAAAACACTTTCTCTAGTGGATGGAAACAGAAATACATACCCTCACCTTGTTATGGGCTGCATAAAACTCCCTTCAAAAACTTACTTTTTGTTTGGCTTCAAGGATCCTTCTTTCAAGGTCAGACGGGATCATTTTCCCTCTGAAAGGAGAAACAAATATATGTTTGCTTTGAATAATTTATTTTGTTGCCTTTACAAAGAGTTGCAAGGGGGTAAAAGTTCAACCTTAAATGATTGCTAATAATGATCAGTTAGAATCATTCCTTGGTTGTTCCCAGAAAGAAAGGCATTTCCTCCCTGAATGACACTGGACTGTCATTTCTGACATGCTTAGGAGACACCTGACCTCGCTGTCCACGTGTCTCTCCACTCTGCACAGAGCCTGTTTTATAGGTCATCTCCTTAGTTAGAGCAAACCTGTTCTGGAGTGAGACATTTGGCACTGAAAGCAGATTTAGAAAAAAGATTTGTATTCCAAATCTTCCAACAAACAGACCTGCAATTGCACACAGAGATGAAATGCCAAGAAGAGAAAATCCACTCTGAAACATCTGAATGAAAATATTACATCCAAAGATACCCAGTTACATTCTGAGAGCTAAAATCACAAAGCAACCAAGAACTCGTGGGCTCAAATGTCAAACAGGCAGCGGAGAAACATCCTTTCATCTCCATCCTTTCATCCTTTCGTTCCTAAAATAGGAACACACAGTGCTTTAGTTACTATACAACCCCACTTTTGGACTTCTCTGGTGGTCCAGTGGTTAAGAAGCCACCTGCCAATGCAGGAACATGAGTTCGATCCCTGGTCCTGGCAGATCCTAATGCCCCGGGAAAACTAAGCCCATGAGCCACAACTACTGAAGCCCACAAGCTTAGAGCCCATGATCTGCAACAAGAGAAGCCACTGCAATGAGAAGCCCATGCACTGCACCTAGACAGTAGCCGCTGCTCACTGCAACTAGAGAAAGCCCTTATGCAACAACGGAGACCCAGCGCAGCCAAAATAAATAAACAATTTTTTTAAACTACTATTATAATAATCAAAGGAGTTGATTTCTACAAGAGGTTAGAGGGGGCTAGATGTGTGATCTCAGTCAAGTCACTTAATTTCTCTGTGCCTATTATGGCCGTACCTTAGTGATATTACTTATGGAGTTATAAGGGTTATATGAGTTAATAGATGAAAAATTATTTTTAAAAGTGCCTGGCATTTAGGAAGTATTCCAGAAAAGAGAGCTTTTATAGTTGAGGTTGTTATTTGCATTATGATATTCCTACTGCAAGACTCTGGAGGGAAAAATCAAGCAAACAACAGAGTAGCTAACTGTACGTTACTGGAGGCGGGAATGATTTTTTGAACCAAAAGAGCTATTCTGAGGTTTCTATACTGGCTAAACTTGTCGGACTGGGGTCATTGATCAAGACTTGTAAAAAGCAGCTTGGAAAAATAAGTGATGGGAAAGAGGTTGTCACCATAAGTAGCTGGAAATGCTACTGGCATTGAGGGGACAGTAAGTGAGGTTTGGAATGTGCCATTAGATTCATAGCCTTTTGTGGGGATCCTTGTAATTTTAGGTAGGTATAGATTTAGATACAGAGCAAGCCATTAGGCTACTTCTTTACCGCTTCTAGTGTCTTGCCTAAGCTTTCCTGACTGAAATATGTTATCTTATTTTAAACTACTTTACTCACTTTTGTCCATTTTATAAAAGTAATCTGGGCATAGTGGGCATTGTATCTTCCACAATTTTCATTTCAGGCTGACAAAGAAGGTACTACGTAATGGTTGGCATAGAGAGCAGAGGTTAGTCCCTCTGCTTTAAAAAGCATGGAGAACCACTGAGTTTTGTGAAGCTATTTCCCAAAGAAAGGCAGTTAACACATTATTGACCAGAGACCTATGAATGCCATAGGTGTTAGTTTCTACAAAAATCCCCTGGTCAATAAAGCATTAAAATGCAATTAATTACCTGGCAACCGCAATGGACACATCACCAGTGATTAATCAGTTGGACTGGAGTGAAACAAAGGGCATTAAAGGTTTATTTGGTGCTGAGGGTGTGATTCTAATCTGAGCAGCCCAACTCTGGGGACTTTCTGTGGGATGGACCTCTGAAGGAGGGACAGAAGGAATGGAGGGGGCAGGCTCGTGGCGGGGGTGGGTGGGTGGAGAGTTCTGGAAGGCCCTTGACGCCCTACACATCTCCCTACACTTCACAGCTTGGCCTGGGAGCATCCCTGAAAGCTGTGATTTTATTTGCAAAAAGTGGAAACAGAGATACAGACATGGAGATCAAACATATGGATATCAAAGGGGAAGTGCAGGGGATGAATTGGGAGATTTGGATTGACATATATACACTACTGATATTACGTATACAACAGATCACTAGTGAGAACCGACTGTGCAGCACAGGGAACTCTACTCAATGCTCTGCGGTGACCTAAACGGGAAGGAAATCCCCCAAAGACGGGATGCATGCATATGTAGAGCTGATTCACTTTGCTGTATAGTAGACACTAATGCAACATTATAAAGCAATTATACGCCAATAAAAATTAACTTAAAAAAAATTGTTCTACCCACCTGAAGGAAAGAAAAAGAAAGCTGTGATTTTTCAGCCTCTCTTAGATCTGGCTATGCTAAAACACCTTGTGCCACCATGATAAAAACAAAAGGTTCACATTTCAGGGGAAATTCAGGCTTTGAAACTAGGTTTTAAAGTACTTTAAAATTGCAAAGGTGCTTTTGTTGATAAACATAAAATTGGGAGAGGATTTTCAGAAATTGTTTGCAAGTCTCAAATGTTACCTAGTATATATACCACAACTAACCTCCTCTGCCTTGGGGAGTTCTGGGGAGACTGACTTGATAATTGCTATTAGCTCACTAATCACATCTAGATATTTTGTTAACCCTTGGCAGTAAGACCCCACAGATAAGTCACAGATAGGGAACATCAGAATTGGGAGGGGCCCAAGACCTCTTTCTCGTTTTCTCAATGATTGTCTCATTTCTCAAATGAGGAAACAGGATAAGACAGTTGCCTGTGTGACAGCCTAGGATCAGGTAAAGCCTGGCTGAAATGAGAAAGTAAATGCCAAGCTTCCAGAACAAACTCAAAGGGCCAAACATTAGGAAACCTCTTTGCAAATGTCTTTGTCTTTGAAGACGATAAGATAAATCCTTTGTGATGACATTTAGCTTTCAAGAATCGGAGGTGTCATTCATACCTGCTGGGAAAGCAGTAATGAACGTATGCGTGCAGGCGTGTCCGACTCTTTGTGACCCTATGGACTGTAGCCCACCAGGCTCCTCTGTCCACAGGATTTTCCAGGCAAGAATACTGGAGTGGGTTGCCATACCCCCCTCCAGGGGATCTTCCCGACCCAGGGATAGAACGCATGTCTCTTACGTCTCCTGCATTGGCAGGTGGATTCTTTACCACTAACACCACCTGGGAAGCCCAATGAACATATACTCTGTCCCATTTCCACATGAACGCAGGAAGAAGGGACAGCCTTGTCAAGTCATCAAGCCCAAGTATTTGCTTCTCACAGAGTGGAAAGCTCTGGGTGTGTCCTTAACAGGTAGGCTCCAGACTTCTCCAGGCATCCAGCCTTCAAGCCTGTATTTGCTTTGTCCACTTAGGAACCCAGAGCCTGGCACACTGCAGGAGGCAGATGGACATTTGTCGGAGGTATGTGACTAGAAGGCAAACGTTTCACCCCAGGATAATATTAATATGCTCACTTTATCTTGGTGACTGATCAGAAAGCTAGTATGGGAGACTCTGTAGACAAAACTTTTCACCTTTTCAGTGATCTTAGAATTGGATGACTTTGCAAAATTTTGCATGCATAAAAATCATAATGTATGTCTTCAAAATGCATATTACTTGGCTCTGATCTTAGGAATTTTGATTCAGAAGGTCAGTGATAGGGCCCTGTAATTAATTCATTCTACAAATATTTACTGAAGACTCACTACGTGCCAAATGCTATTAGGGTTGCTGGGGCACCCGGGTAAACAGGCCAGTTTCTACTCTCCAGGGCTTACATCCTAACAGAGGAGACAAACAATAATAAATAAGCAAACATGCATAGCAATCCGCATTTCTAACAAGGAGATTGTGGCACAGGCAGACCTCGGTCCACATGTTGAGAAACATTGCTTTAGAAATGGAAGTTTTATCCTGGCAGGTATTTCCATAATTGTGTAACATACTAGCCAGGCATTTTTCACAGGACCCAGGGTTTTGAGCCATCACAGCCATAGGGCAGCTAGCAGAAGGAGGTCCAGACATGACTGTGCATCCCCATCTGCCCACATGCTGTGAGAAGAAGAGAGCCTCCAAGCTCCCCAACAGGTTCCTCTGAGGATTAGAAGCTGTCTGGCAGCCCTAGCTTTTCCAGACAAGCATCTTTTCATGCAGGGAAGCTTTAGATGGCAGCTATTGCATCCTGTATGTCTGGTTTAGCAGTATTATCACAGCAAAATGTATATCTTTTATCTTTAGGTATGCAGCAGCCTCTAAGCACCCAGTGAAACAGTGGCTGATGCTCTGTGGTGCTATTCTCTGTTAGGTGCCAGTGTTTAAGAAAAAAAACTGCCATTAAAAGGGAGAACTGTTGAACCAGACTGCTGCTTTGGATGAGGCAGTTTTACATGGAGATTCTTGATTGTGATAGTCTTTTAAAAATGTATATGATGGAGACCTTCGTAGCCATGTAGTGTTAAGACTCCGTGCTTCCACGGCAGAGTTCACAGGTTTGCCCCCTGGTTGGGTAACTAAGATTCCACATGCAGTGCAGAGTGGCCAAATAAAAATATTTTTAAAACTTTAAAAAGCAAAGCATGTCATAATGGATTAAAAAAAACTAAGCATGAAAAATAAGTATTAAAAAATTCATGTGATGCTCTAGTTGTCATCTATACAGAAGTCAAAACCTTATGTTGTACACATGACATTTTTATAACTATGATAAACCAATACTGTCTCAATACATTTAAAAACAACTTTAATCCATATGATGCTATTGGGTCAGAAAACTTGATGAAGTTGCCTGGGCAAAATCCCACACTGCCAGCTAGAGCCACCAGCAGGAAGAATCTTCTCTTTGTGGAAAGAAGCAAATGACACAGATTACACTGTACTATCCAGATTCACGGCTATCTTTCCATGGCTGTGAAGGGGAAAATGATCTTACCCAAAGGAGCATGCTACTGGGGAGTGTGGTGCTCTGGGCAGATCACAAATGGGGTGCTTGAGTCTTTGGTGACTCTGTTCACTGACCCTGCTGAACTATAATAATTCTATCAGCCTACGGGCTGAGAGCTTAACTCTGTTCACAGAGATTTGTGTGCAAAGAAGAAAGCATGCGTGATCCTTCCCATTAGAAACTGCCTAATGTTACTACCACTGTTAATAGCAACAGCGCCCTGCAGGGACAAGGAACTACCAGTTTTAGAAGCAGTCACTGCACTGTGCCTCACTCCTGATCTCTGCCCCTCAGGTCAATTCCACAAGAGATTCATTACTGTGTGATTTAGACTTATTACTAGTAATTTAGGTAAGTTAAAGGGAACCCTGAAGGGAGGAGCAAGAAATGGAGAAATCAAAGAAAAGTGAAATTTGACATTGATGCAGACTATTATTTAATCTATCCACCCTATTCAGATTTCATCAACTGTCCCAATACTATCCTTTCTGTTCAGGTCAGTTCAGTTCAGTCACTCAGTCATGTCCAACTCTTTGCCACCTCATGGACTGCAGCATGCCAGGCATCCCTGTCCTTCACCATCTCCCGGAGTTTGTGCAAACTCATGTCCATCGAGTCGGTGATGCCATCCAACCATGTCATCCTCTGTTGTCCCCTTAGAGCTATTTTCGCCTCCTGTCCAAGTTCGCAGGTGACACTTAGTTGTCACCTTTTTAGTCCCCTTTAATCTGGACCTTGTCCTCATCCTTTCATTGTTTTTCATGACATTGATATTTTGATGAGTGTAGATCATTTATTTTGCAGCATATTTCTTAATTTGTGTTTATTTGACATTTCTTTGTAATTAGATTCAGGCAATGCATTTTGGGCTAATGTGTGTGGGGCTTCCCTGGGGGCTCAGCTGGTAAAGAATCCACCTGTAATGTGGGTAGACCTGAGTTCTATCCCTGGGTTGGGAAGATCCCCTGGAGAAGGGAACAGCTTATGGCTCCAGTATTCTTGCCGGAGAATTCCAATGACTGTATAGTCCATGGAGGGTTGCAGAGAGTCAGACTCAACTAAGCAACTTTCACTGTTAGGGATTCTCTGGTGGCTCAGACGGTAAAGTGTCTGACCACAATGCGGGAGACCTGGGTTCGATCCCCAGGTCGGGAAGATCCCCTGGAGCAGGAAATGGCAATCCACTCCAGTACTCTTGCCTAGAAAATTCCATGGATGGAGGAGCCTGGTGGGCCCATGGGGTCACATGAAGTCCATGGGGTCACAGAGTAGGACACGACTGAGTGACTTCACTTCACTTCAATGTGTGTAATACTATAATGATTTACTGGTGGCTCAGTGGTAAAGAATCCGCCTGCCAATGCGGGAGACATGGGTCTTATCACTAGGTCGGGAAGATCCCCTGGAAAAGGAAATGGCAACCCACTCCAGTATTCTTGCCTGGGAAAACCCACTGGAGCAAGGAGCCTGGCAGGCGGCAGTCCATGGGGTCACAAAGCGTAGGATATGCTTTATCGACTAAACAGCAATATTGTAATATTCATTACATTCAACATGTAATATTAACATCAAATTCCATCCACAGAAAGAAAGAGAATGGTAAAGCAAATATATCAGAATGCTAATGACTAGTGAATTTGGGTGCAGAGTATGTAAGAATTCTTGCAGTTTTTCTTTGGTTGAAATTATTCACAAAACTACAAAGTTAAAAAAAAGGCTGGATAAATAAATATCTAAGAATCTTTTTAATGCTGAGGGTTTCTGAACTGAAATCCACTGGCAGCTGCCCACCGCCCCCCAACAGCCCTCCTCCCAAAATCTCTCCCCTTCCCTTCCATCACCACTCCTGCTCTCTCCCCTCTGTCTCCTTCCTGTTTTATAATGTAAGATGATTTCAGACTGCTTGTGAGCTCTTCAGAGGCAGTTCCTACATAATTTTAGCCAAAAGAATAAGAAACTCACATAGGAAATTAAACCTCAGCTATTTTTTCCATATAATTCACACTTCACCTCTAGCAGACTCTTCCCTGCGCAGTTAAAGATGTCTTAAGCCCCCTTGGGCTTCCGGGTAGCTCAAACAGTAAAGAATCTGTCCACAATGTGGGAGATCTAGGTTCAATCCCTGGGTTGGGAAGATCCCCTGGAGAAGGGAACGGCAAACCACTCTAGTATTCCTGTCTGGAGAATCCCATGGACAGAGGAGCTTTGTGGGCTACGGTCCATGGGGTCGCAAAGTGTCATACACAACCGAATGACTTCCATTTTCTGTCACACTTGCCTTTCTTTAAGCCCCCTTCCTTAAAACAACCCAACCCAAACCACTTTGGACTCCGTCCAGCTTCCACCCTGCATCCTCCCCTTCATGGCTCAACCTCTGGAAACATCTGGCTTTTTTCTCCATTTCCTCCTCTCCACTCAGCCTTGAACCCACTGCAAACTGCCTTCCAGTCTCAACCCTCTACTGAAACTGCTCCTGCCAAACTCACCAGCCCCCTTCTTATAAGGAGAGCTGAGAGGCAGGTGTTGACCCTCATTTCATCTACTGGTGGCATCTGATGCAGCAACCACTCCACAGGCTTCCCTGGTGGCTGAAACAGTAACCTGCCTGCAGTGCAGGAGACCCGGGTTTGATCCCTGGGTCAGGAGCATGCCCTGAAGAAGGAAACGGCAACCCACTCCAGTATTCTCGCCTGGAGAATTCCATGGACAGAGGAGCCTGGCGGGCTCACAATGAGGGGTCACAACGAGTTAGACACGACTGAGCAACTAATCCTTTCAGCTTTCAACCACTCCTAGAAACACTCTCACAGCCCTGGGTCCTGATTCTCCTCCACCTCTGGCTGCCCCTCCTTAGTCCACGGCAGCTGCTCTCGCTCCGCCTGTCCCGGACACGTGGGTTCCCCTGACTCTCGCCCAGGCCCACTCTGCACGGCTCCCATCACACATCGTCTGACCTCCAGGCTGATGCTTCCGTTGGCCACCCTGACACCTTCACTTGGACGTCTCATAAGCTCTACAAACTCAGCATCTCCACTTCAGGGGGCGGGGGGGATGGTTCCTGGCTTCGAGAATAGCACCGCGTGGACTTAGCCAGGAAGTCTGGTGTTCCCTCTCCTCTCAGCTGTCAACCTGCACACCACCCCCCACCCCCGGGTCAGTCAGTAATTCCTGTCAATTCCAGCACTTCCTCTCCACTGCTCCTCCCCAGGTCAGCCCACCCTCCTTCTGCTGACAGGACCTTTCCCCATTTGGGTCATATACAACCAGGGAACTAGGATTATGCCTTATGATTTTCTAGAGCCTAGTGACATGGTAAAGTGATCATACATATCTCTCTAATAAATTCATATGAATAAATGGTGAATTGAGTAGCTTCCTTTTAATTTAGTGGAATTTCTTATTCAATCCTTTTAACACTAAATGTATTTTCTTACATTTTAACCTCACCTTTATCCAGAGTACCTAAGAAGTTTGGGTACCAGATTAAGACAGGGAGTTTTCCTAAGCTTTCCAGAGCTCTTTGGCTCAGACTCTGAGCTGATGAGTTGCTGGAGGCATTATTTACCTTCTGCTCCCTAAACTATCCCCCTCCTGTAATCACTCCATCAAGTTCACACAATCTGTGGTGCCTGGAGGGATGACACCTCCATAAATCAGTTCTCAACCCGTTGGCTGCTGCTTAAGTGCCCAGATGATAAATGTCCTTCTGCACCTTCTCAGTGCAGAAAATTCTGGTTGATTCAGCAAGGTTTGGATTCAGTCAAAGGCTGTGAATGCCTCTGCATCATTGAGGAAACACGTCCCAGGACTCCAAGCAAGAGGGAAAAAGAAACAGCAAAGACCAGCAGCTGGCAAAGAGGCAGGTTTGTGCCCTACAGGTCATCACCTGTTTTTAGACTTTTAAGGTGTATGTACACAAACTGCAAACTGCTAACCAACAAGGGTTGCAGATTCATGCTCACCTTTCATCACATTTAATCAGAATCACACTGTCTGTTCCAATGCCCAAGGCTGCAGCTCCCTTCTTGAGAGAAAAATGGCTCTGTAAAAGAAACCATATCTGTAATTAGTTGCAAATAAAGTCAAGAGCCATTTCCTTGGCTGTTTTTCTTTTTTCCTTTTCTCCTTTTGTTTCTAACATGTCCCTCCAAAGCCTGAACTGATGAGAAAAGATGGGATCCTTCATTTAACCTTTTTTTTTTTCAATTGTGGTGAAAGGCACATAATATGAAATTTATCATCTTAACTATTTTAAGTCTCTAGGTCAATGGCATAAAATATATTCACATTTAATGAATGTGAGCAACCATTTGAGCAACCATCACTACCATCTATCTCCTGAGCTCTTATCATCTTGCAAAGACTGACACTCTGTATCCATTAAACAGCAGCTCCCCATTTTTGGAAGACTTCTAGCAAAAAGACTATCAGGTATCACCACAGTGATAATCTATTCTTCATTTAAGAATTTGTGGAAGCATCCCTGGTGGCTGGCTCAGATGGTAAAGAATCTGCCTGCAATGCAGGGGACCCGAGTTCATCCCAAGTCAGGAAGATCCCCTGGAGAAGGGCATGGCAACCCACTCCAATAGGCTTGCTTGAGAAAGCCCATGAACAGAGGAGCCTGGCAGGATACAATCCATAGCGTCACAAAGAGCTGGATACAATTGAGCAACTTTAACTCTTCCAGTTTTTATTTTTTCCTGTTAAACAAGCTGAATTAAATCTCCCTATTACAGGACTTGTCAGAGCCTTTAATAGGAAAACATATGCGGCAGGTCTTCAAGGTAGATCTGTTTTGCTATGATTCTTGTGTTTATTTGCCAATGGAACCCCGTTAGCGAGAAGCACTCGACTTGACCAGACCATTCACAGCACAGGAGAAGAGAGGCTCCTTCACGCTGGATGGCCCACCCTTCTCTCCAGCAGTGGTTCCCAAACTGCAGGATACATCACAATCTCCTGGAGGGCTTGCTCCTACCACTCTACTTTCTATCTTGATGAATTTGACTACTTTAATACCTCATGTCAGTGGAACCATACGGTAATTATTTTTTGTGTGTGTGCGACTGGCTTATTTTATTAGCATAATAGCCTCAAGGTTCATCCATTTTGTAGCATGTGTCAGAATTTCCTTCCTCTTTAATGTCAAATCACATTCATCTTAGATTTCCCAGGTGGTGCAGTGGTAAAGAATCTGCCTGCAATGCAAGAAGAGCAAGAGATGTGGGTTCGATCCCTGGGTTGGGAAGATCTCCTGGGGTAGGAAATGACAACCCGCCCCAATACTCTTGCATGGAAAATCCCATGGACAGAGCAACCTGGTGGGTTACAGTCCATGGGGCCACAAAGAGTCAGACATGACTGAGCACACACTGCATATTCACCTTACGTACACACAACACTTTAGTGTTTCATTCATCTCTCAATAAACACTTGGGTTGCTTTCACCCTTTGCCCTCGTGAATAAGGCTGTGATGAACATGGATGGATAATTATCTCCTTGAGTTTTGTTTTTAACTCTTTTGGCTATATACCCAGAAATGGAAATGCTGGATCATAAGGTAATTCTGCTTCTGAGGAACAGCCATATTTTTTCCTTAGCAGCTGCATTTTCCTTTCTCACTGGCAGTGCACAACAGTTTCAGTTTCTCCACACCCTTGTCAATGGTTGTTGTTTTCTGTTTTCTGCTAACACTCATTTTGGTAGGTGTGGGGTGATACTTCATTATGATTTTGCTTTTTATTTACCTAATCATTAGTGATGTCATTTCATGGACTTACTGGCCATTGGTACATTTCTTTGGAGAAATGTCTACAAGTTCTTTGCCCATTTTTGAAGGGGGTTGTTTGGATTTTGTTGCTGTTGAATTCACTTGGGCTTTTGCATGAAGATAACAAGATCTTGGAAATTATTTTTTTTTTTAAATTGCTAGGTGGCTTAGTGGTAAAGAATCCACCTGCCAAGCCAGAGACACGGGTTCAGTCCCTAGGTTAGGAAGATCCTCTAGGAATGAAATGGCAATCCATTCTAGTATTCTTGCCTGAAAAATCTCATGGATAGAGGAGACTGGAGGGCTATAGTCCATGGAGTTGCAAAAGAACTGGACATGACTGAATGACTAAACAACACACAGTAATCCATGCCAATCTCACACACAAGGCATCAGAACACAGCAACAGCCTCCAGCAGCTGTGCATTGTATGGCTCCCAGACTTATATTTTGCTACTCAGATTACATTCACTTTTTTTCAAGTCCAGTGAAATTATGTGCCCTCAAGGAAGAGAAGTTGGCCTGAAACCCAGCACTCTTTCATCCCAGACTCATTGGAGGGGCTATTTGTGGTGGAGATGACTGTCCAGCCCAGGGTGTGATCAGGATGGAGGCATCAGTCACTGGCTTGGGCAAACACTGCAAGTAGGAAGACCACCCTGATGAGCGGAATCTTTGTGATTTGGTTATGCATTCTTGCTAAGAATCTGAATCATTTCAATGGCTGTAATCACTGTGCATTCTAAAGAGCAGAGAGGATCCAACCTTGCCCAGCTGTACTACGCCTTCGAGCAGCCTCCTACTATTAAATACAGGTCATTAAGCTGTTCAAAAGGAGAGCTGCTTCCTCAATTTACATCTGCAAAGGGTGGCTGCCTTGAATTTTAAATGATGGCTCCAGAGTGTGTTCTCCAATGTATGCTTTGGACTTCTTCGAATTCTCAAATGTGCAGCCTAGGAACTGGTAACACACATACTTCTATGTGTGTGTGTGGGTGTGGCTAATAAGCAAGAAGAAATCACATTTATAACAGTAGCAAACACTATAAACCAATAAATGAGGAGTTGAATAGAGGAGTTTTAAAAAGCCCAGTGCAGTTAACAGTAGTGATGGGAAGGAGTCCCTAGTCTCATTTTACAACCTCAGGAAGACAATGTAGACAATCATTACCAAGATACCTGGGAACTAAGAAAGTTTAGTTGTATTTGGAAAGAAGCATGGCTTCCCCACCAAAAAAAAAATGTTCTCTCTAACGTAGTCACCGGTTCCTTGGGTGACCCCCAAAGGAAGACACCCAGGGGAAAACGGCCTAAGTCTGCTCCTACCAGGGAGGCACAGAACGGAGGTGCCAGCTGCCCTGCTGAGCAAGCACACACCCCCCAAACTAGGCCCCTCAGTGAGTGAGCTTGTAAGCACTGTTAAAACCCAACACAAACAGAGACTTGAAAATTCCCTAGCAGACAAAACCAGCTCAATTTATCTGATTTTGCAAGACAAGTGAGGCTCACTTGACGGTTTGCTTTTCAAGGATGCCTCTGAAAATCATGAGACTTAAATCATTCTCCCCATTTATAGGGGCTTCCCTGGTAGCTCAGCTGGCAAAGAATCTGCCTGCAATGCAGGAGACCCCGATTCGAGTCCCGGGTCAGGAAGATCCACTGGAGGAGGGAACGGCTACCCACTCCACTATTCTTTGGGCTTCCCTGGTGGCTCAGATGGTGAAGAATCCACATGCAGTGTGAGAAACTTGGGCTCGATCCTGGGTTGGGAAGATCCCCTGGACAAGAGAAAGGCTACCCACTCCAGTAGTCTGGCCTGGAGAATTCAATGGACAGAGGAGCCTAGCAGGCTACAGTCCATGGGGTCGCAAAGAGTCAGACATGACTGAGCAACTTTCACTTTTCACTTTCCCCCATTTACAGGTGGGAACCATGAACCAGCTCCCTTTCACCAGAAAATTTTAATACTGTAACCAAGCGCTGTGGGGAATCAACCGTTAGTCCTCCACATTATATAAGCTGCTCTGTAGCGACGACCTCTGAGCTGCGTCGCTCGCAGTTCGCAAGGTATCTTATTGATATGTGTACCGTAAACTTTTGGGCTTCCCAAGTAACTCACCGGTAAAGAAATGCTTGCCAATGCAGAAGACTCGGGTTCTATCCCTGGGTTGGGAAGATCCCCTGGAGAAGGAAACGGCAATCCACTGCAGCATTCTTGCCTGGGAAATCCCATGGACAAGGAGGCCTGGTGCACTACAGTCCATGAGGTCACAGCATCTGACACGATTTAGTAGTAGCACCATAAACATATATTATTAGTGATTCACTGGTTTCTGGTTTTTTTTTTTTTTCTCCTGAACTTTGACAGCACTAAACAGCTAAATGGCACACTGAGGATAAATAAGAGATCTGATGCACCGGTCAATGAAAGGAAGTAGCCTTGTCTGGTCTTTAATGAGGAAGAATGGGGATTCTCAAGTGAGGGGCAATTACCGAGGATAATTGATCACTGTACCAAATGCCACACATTTAAAGGAAAAACACACACCCAAATAGGAAGCTTCAAGAAGGGGAACAAAGGCATGAAAAAGAAAGTTAGGTACCAAACACTAAGTCCACTTACACATTTTCAGGAGAGGGAACAGGGAAATAGCTAAATGCTATCTACAAATACGGGACTTTCCTGGTGGCTCAGTGGTAAAGAATCCACCTACCAATGCAGGAGACACAAGTTCAATCCCTGAGTTGGGAAAATCCCCTGGAGAAGGAAATGGCAACCCACTCCAGGATTCTTGCCTGGGAAATCCCATGGACAGAGAAGCCTGGCAGGCTACAGCCCATGGGGTTGCAAAGAGGTATGACTTCACACTAAACAACAACAACATCCACAAACAGCCAGCGACCTAAGAGAGAAGGAATTTGAGAGGGGAAAAAAGAGACTACCTAGTGAGGAAGAAACAGTAAGGACAGCTTAAATGGCAGGATGCCCTGAGCCTGTGAGAATACCAGGAGAAACATCTTTACTCCTTGGCACCGTGTTGAACAGAACCCCTTGTAGATAAACCAGAGCAGAGCACAGTATCCTGAAGGCTGAGGAGCCCGGGAACCAGGTATCTAGAGAGAGATTTACCTCTCAGCTGGAAGGTCTACCAGTCATCCTTGGATTTGATCTTTTCTTACCAATATAGCCTTTCTGTTTGTGAGAGGAGTGAACGGTATGTGTGTGTGACAGAGAGAGACAGAGAGAGACAGAGAGAGACAGAGAGAG